ATGATTTGGACGTGTGTTGTGGTGTTGCGCGTGACCTTGGAACGATTGAACAGCGTGTGCGAGCTGGCTGTGTAATTCACACTCAATTCGCTTGTCGCTTGATTGTTCGCTTGGACGCAGTTGTATTTTTTTCTCAGCTCGCATATTCAGCCCCGCACACCTATGTTTCATCGATTCATCGTTTTCATCGTTTCATCGTTTGCTAAAATCGGTTGCTGTGTGCGGTGTGCTTACGCCACGCGCACGCCACGGCACACACGCACGCACACACACACACGGCAGCAATCCAGCCACGCGTCCGCCGCGCCCACGCATACACACGCGCACACACACACGGCCAGCAATCAGCCACGCGCACGCACGCGCACACACGCGCGCACGCACACACACGGCCAGCAATCAGCCACGCGCTCACGCACGCGCACGCAACGCGCCACACACGCACGCACACACACACGGTCAGCAATCAGCCACGCGCACGGCCACGCCGCACACACGCACCGCCACATACACAACACGGCTGCAATCAGCCACGCGCACGCACGCGCACGCACGGCCGCACACTCACGCACGCACACCCACACTGGCCAGCAATCAGCCACGCGCGCGCAACGCGCACGTCACGCGCGCCACGCCACGCAACACAGGCCAACAATCAGCCACGCGCTCACGCGACGCACCACGGCGCACACACGCGACGCGACACGCACACACGGCCAGTCAATCAAGCCACGCGCGATCACGCACAGGGCGCAACGCGACGCGCGCCACACACGGCAGCAATCAGCCACGCGCTCAGCAGCGCACGCACGCGAACACACAGCGGCTGCACGCACGCACACGGCAACAATCACCACGCTGCTCGCGGCACGAGAAATTCACGTAATCTTACATTTCAGCGGCAATAGCTGCAGTAGCAGCGGTAGCACTAGCAGTAGCAGCGGTAGCACTAGCAGTAGTCAGTAGCAGCGGCCGACCGATACAAACGCGATCAATAACAACATGCCTCGCCTGCCTGCCTTGCCTGCCTGCTGCTGCCTGCCTGCTGCCTGCCTGCCTGCCTTTCTGCCTGCCTGCCTGCCTGCCTGCCGGCCTGCCCTCCATGCATGCCGTCCTGCCTCCTGCCTCCATGCATGCCTGTCTGCCTGGCGCTGCATAACCTCCTGCCTTTCCTGCCTTCCTGCCTTCCTGCCTTAGCCTGCCTGCCTCCATGCAGTGCTCCCTGGCCTGCTCCATTGCATTGCCTGTCTGCCTGCCTGCATGCCTCCCGGCCTTCCTGCTTCCTGCCGACCTGCCTGCACGCTACGCTACCCCGTTCTAGAGTAGGGCATCATGCTGCGTCGGTGGCAAGCCATACCAGCAACGAGTCAGCAGCAGTAGCTCAGTAGCATGAGTAGTAGCAGCAGCACAGTAGTAGTAGTAGTAGCAGTAGCAGTAGTAGCAGTGCAGTAGCCAGTAGCAGTAGCAGTTAGCAGTAGGGAGCAGTTAGCAGTAGTAGGCAGTAGTAGCGAGCAGTAGTAGCAGCAGCAGAAAGCAGCAGCAAGCAGCAGCGAGGCAAGTAGTAGCAGCCCAGCAGCAGCAGCAGCAATAGCTATAGCAGTCAGTAGTTAGCAGCACAGTAGTAGCGCAGCAGCAGCATAGGTAGCAGTAGCAGCGGCGAGCAGCAGCAGCAGCACACAGGTTAGCAGCTGAGTAGCAAGTAGCAGCAGGCATGCAGCAGCAGCCAGCCAGCCAGCAGCAGCAGCAGCAGCATCCGGCGGCGGCTTGAAGTGGTCCTAATTTGACTTTGCCGCGGAGAGATGGTGCCATGTTTATTATATCTTCCATCGAGCGCGCGGGAGCGTTGCCGCGGACAGCCAGCACTGCGCATTCGCGGCAGCATCCTCCCAGCATCGCATCCGAGCGGAGGGGCCGAAGCAAACAGCGGTGACTCCATAGCTGACAACGCGTGTACTGTCTAAGATGTCGGTGACATCATGGTGTTTACACGAGACGCCGGTGACATCATTGATGTTTACACGAGGACCCCGTGACATCATTGCGTCGTTTACGCGAGCGCGCGTTGGACATCATTGGGGTTTACCGAGACGATGCCAGCTGACATCATTGGTGTTTACACGAGCGCCGGTGATATCAGTGCGTTTACACAATTGGGTAGGTTGCGTTGGGATCACAGTTAGGCGTAGGAAGTTGGGGTTAGGTTCGGCTGCAATTTTCCACACGCAAGTCCTTACAACACGCCACACACTCTTTTCTCGCCAGGAGCGCGCCACTCAACGCACAGCACCGCTTACAAGACGGCACTCCGCGAGATCTCGCGCGAGACGACGGTGGCGCACCGGTCGAGGAGGATCGCAGCGATCATCGTCAGCTGGCAATTATTAAGTTTAATATACCAGAAATGAAGTGAGGGCCTCTGTGCGCATGCGGCGCTGTGTGCGGGCAGGGCAGCAGCAGCAGCAAGCAGCAGTGTACGCTGTTGTACACCGAGATCAATACTTACTTACTGCATAGCAGCTACTAGCTAGGGTGAATCCGAAAGTGCGAAAGGCCATAATTCTGTGGCCTCCAGCTGATAGCTAGGCGAGCAAAGGCTCGAGAGAGGGGGAAGAAAGGGCGCAAGAAGGGGAAGAAGGGGAGAGAGAACAAGAGCCGCAGAAGCGAGCCTGAGGCTCATCTGGAGGTATTTTGCTACGGTTAATAAACTATCAGATCGCTGCGTAGTGACACATTTGTTAGACGCGACAGATGATGCAGATACGCAGTCTGACGTACACTCAATTGCATTAGAACGCTCACTATCTCCCCCCAGCAGATATTGGTCTTATATTTAATATAAATGATACTTGCCTTTCACTTCGAATTAATGTGATCACTAGATTAAGCTATCTAATTTATTAATCTATCATATAAAAGATTTCAACATTATGGAAGCATGGACTCTACCAAGTTTAATTAGATGGGGCGGGAGTCCTTCTCTACCCCACCTCCCTCCCCACTGCGATCCCAACTCCCATTCCCCCATAAGCCTCCCACCTTACACTACTCTTGCCTCTCACTTTCCCCTACCATCCAATCTCCCTCCCCCTATAATTCGACCTCCCTCCCCTGCCTCCCACCTTCCCATCCCCGTTGCCACAAACAATCTCGCAGACTAATATGTACCCGATTTCACGCTCGCATTACACACCGATCACCAGTTTTCCTGATCCCCGTCTCAATTTACTACTCCTCCTCTCTTATCTATAGACTTTCTCTCATCTCTTTACATTAATAAATTAAAAATTAAAACCCGCGATGATGCCTTTTACTGCCCATTAATATGCTTATATTCCTCATGCCCCTGGTTAACAGTCATAGAATCAATATATATAGTCGTCTCTACTATGTCATATGGATAACAGCTTACTGTTCGCAACAAACTGGTAACAATGGATACGCAGGCAATAACGCTACAGGATATATAGTTAAGATTCAAGATAGTGAAACGTAATCATTATAATAATTATAATATGGTACTAGCTTAGTTATTTTATTCGTATTACAAAGTTACATAGAGAATAAAACATCTAATTTAAACTACGCTAATAGTTGCCAGACGAAGATTGGCGCAGGTGCAAGTGTAATCAATAATCAAAGATGGCATCGTTCCTGAAATCGTACAGTAGGTACAGGCTAAAATCCAAGTAAGTATATTCAGGCAGTTGCTCAGCTGTGAGTTAACAGGTGCATTGCAGGTTGGCAGGCAACAATTATGATAAGAAGCGTGCCAGCCATGGGCTGCCTGTGTTTTTGCCTCGTGAGCATTCACTGATTCATCATTCAGCCTTCAGGCCTAAGATGGCAAGCAGTCTGTCTATAGCACCCTAGCATTTTTATGGCTTTATTGAAAGGACCATGAAATGTGCTTTCCACTGACGTGCGAAGAGTAAGTGTTGGATAACCTTTTGACCCTCAAGAGGAGGGTTAAACATTGATTTGTTGACTGTTAACAAAGGACTGAACTGCTTTTGCTATTATTAGAGCCCATACCTGTGTCAATGTGAGGCTACAGTTGCACAGTTTAATTGCAAAGGCAAATGTTTGTTGAACAAGGTTTACGCTCCTTAAATCATATGATTTTCTAAAGGTCACCGCTGAAACAAAAAAGTTTTTCAATCGCTCGGTCACACCATGTCCTCAGAAAATGTCTAAAATCTGCCCTGTGCCCCATTGACCTTTGACCTGTGACCTCCAATTTCGGCACAATGATGGTTTTTCCTACCATGATGCTATACACCGACTATCACGAGCCTAGGTCAGGCCGTTTAGATTTGTGCCGCAATTTTGCATTTCCTCCCTATACCTTAAGTTAAGGAGTGAATGTTCCCCCTTCTTTTACACCTCTTGACCTTTGACCTTTGACCCCCAGCTTCGACATCCCAACTCGTTTTCGGATTACCCCCCCACGTCCCGAATATCGTGACCGTACGTCGAGCGGTTAAGATTTGTGCCCAACTGTTGACGGACGGACGGACGCACGGACGATCATGCGATTCTACAAGCTGCATCTGACTATGTCAGATGAGCTCAAAACAAGCTGAAGCGTGATTCTGTATGGGCGCCGCCATTTTGAATAAACCACGGTCGGTACTAATCCCATTCGGCTGTGATGGATGCCCGCTAGTCGTCTGGTCGGAACCGAGGTATCACAGCCGAAGGCGGCCCTGGCTGTGATATGGTGCAAAAGTTGATAGAATAAGTGTGAATTTCTGTCTGTGGTTGGAGCTGAAATGAAAGGTTACTGTGATCGCCAGCGTGCAGAAGTTAGACCCCTTCTTCTCTTTATATATATAACTTTTTTCTTCTTCTTTTTTCGCCTCAGGTCCCTGTAGGCTGTGGTGGCTGTGGTCGAGCGCCTAAATTCGTAACCCGACCAGGCTGTGTGACACCCTAACCCTAGCCCTAGGTATCTAACCCTAGCAATACCGTTTCTTGGAGCTACTAAATTCGATGCTTACATTTCGCTTCCTAAACCTCGAATTCTTTTTCTTTTTGGGCTGTGCTTTTAGATCTCCTTTCTTCCGGACTGAGCTCACATTCTTCATTATGTATAATTATTCAATGGGTTTGATTAAATCAACAAACACGTGTTCACGTTAATAAATTGTTAACAACAACTAGTGACAGTGTCACATCACATGTACTTTGTGGGCGCAGACATGACAGGTGTTGGTCTCGCGGAGTCTCGCGAGGTTTCATGACAGTTGTGAGAGATATCAGAGCACACTTATGAGAAGCTTGAGCAGCCTGTGATGAAACGCTAACGAAGCATACTGTTTAAATGCAGTGTAAGCTTGTAAAATGGCCTAATTGGCAACGTAGAACGGCCTACTGTAATTGTGTGCGAATAATTTGGACCAGTAAGGTGCGTCACCAGTATTAATTTTTAGGCAGGTAATTTATGGCGCCGACTCAACTAGGCTGACTAGGCCTAACACAAATTGAACTTATCTCACCCGTAGCCTAGGCAATGTACTCGCCACTGGCTAGTATTACCTTCTGGAGTCTCTGTACTGGTTAGTTACCACTGCAGAGTAGTGGCAGTATTTTTGTTGATGGCAGCAAGCACTACGGGTACTGCACACTACTGATATTACACGAAATAAAGGTTCAGGCTTACCTGAGGCTGGTCCGAATTATTTTATGAATAGTGACAGTCGTCACAGAATAGTGCTTTATTTTTTTTTATGAAGAGACAGTTTCATATGATATGGCCAATCAAACGGCTAAAAGGGGTTAATATAACTTATAATCACTTAAATGTTCGCATGAGCGTAAGAATAGAAAGTATAGAGTTGTCAGTAATGGCCACTAATCCTAATTTCAGACAACCACTCCAAATTCTTATAAAACTGGTCTTACATAATCAGCACACAAATTAAACCATTAAGGCATTAAGGATACCTACTATCAAGGTTTTAGGAAAAATTTTACCGATTTTTCATTTTAAACTTTATTCGATGGCTAACACTATGTGGCACCTGTGTACATGCTCATTTCTCCATATAACGGTACATGTGAACTGTCAGAGTGTTTTGCTTTCCCGCGTACATGTAAAAAAGGTTGTCTATTCATAATACACCATGGCAGGGGTGGGCAAACTGCGGCCCGCGGGCCGCATGCCGCCCTCTACGGGGTTCTGTGCGGCCCGCGGAAGCCTGCAGCAAAATAAAAAAAATCAATAAATTTTTGTGAGAGCCAACATGTTTGTGCTTGAACCGAGGCTGACTTTTTCAGTGTCATACAGATTCGTGTTTTATTGTCTCTGGGTTCGCTCACAATGCCAATTCAGCTAATTATGGTCCAGAGATGGCGCCCTTGAGGCGAAACGCACGTATTATCTTAGAGCGCACTGCCCGATTTTTTAAAGGTGTGGCCCTTTGACTTTTTATGGCCCACTGATGCGGCCTTCGCTCTGAAAAGTTTGCCCACCACTGCACTATGGCTAACTAGTGAATGAGACATCAGCTTCCTAATTATGCAGAGAGATAGTGTCTAGGTTAGGCCATGAGAATGAAAGTTTTAGATTTGCATCCACCGCCCGCATGCTCCAAAACCTCCTGCCACAAAAAATGCATTTAAAAAAAAATTCATTATTCACATGAAATAGGCTCTCCAGACTCCGTCACAAAAATTCAAGTTCAAATCATCAAACAGCTGTAAAAGGATATAATTATGCATAATAGGCCTACATACTAGTACGTGCATGCAGTTACTGCCAGGGCGCCAACCTTTAATCTAATTCGATTAAATTTTCACTATCCAGAGAATGACTTCAAGGAAATCATTGCTAGACGAGTTCTTCCTTGTTTTCCTATGTAAAATTACAGCAACTAAAACTTATCTAACTAATTGTTGGCTCAGTAACAGGTTGTAAGTTGTACTGGGAATATCCGTTCTTTAAATGTGGCATGAACTATATTTGCAGGTGGGAGTAGATTGGTGTATGTGGGTGTGCGTGTGCGTGCGTATGTGCGCGTGCGTGGCATCATGCATGCGAAACTGAGTTTGTAAGTCTGCAGCTGCAAGATTGTAAGTTTGTGACTGAAAATGTAGTGAAACCTACTGGTGAAAGCTTCTGCTTATAGTGTGCAGTAAAACCCACTACTCTAATCTGCAGTACATTAATTCTTAAACTATTTCGCTATAAGCAGTGTGCGTTTAATTAGGAATAATAGGCCCATTGATTATGCAATGTTGACGAATTCTAGATTAACTGGCACCTTGTGTAGTTAATAAGTACATTACCTTATAGCCAAACTCGTATTAGTTTGTCCAATATCACTGCTGGTTACTAAGAAATGTCTAATTGAAATCCGCAGTCCAACAATCGGTTGTTTACAGTTTCAAACCGCTGCCGGCGAAGCGGGTGTGATACAGATTTATAGTGCACCGGACATTTTCGCACGCATGCTCGGCCGTACGCAATGCTATCATCAGTGATTTCGTAAACATGGACGCTCGTGATAAGGAACTTTTTGTCAGGGCTGTCCACGTGCGTCCGTGATTATTACGTGTGTTTTACTCTATTTCCATGTTTAGTCTGTGGCCGTGGTTACACCGCTGACACCTTCGTTTCATCTGGCGTCCAAAACATACGGGCCACACAAATGTTTACGTCATCGCTTGACTCCTGGATGACATTTACGGCATGTAAATGATACGTTGATACATATCAACAACCGATTTCAAGTCTTGTTTGTAATGTAACGAGCAGTGATATTGGACAAACTAATACGCGTTTGGCTATAAGGTAATGTACTTATTATCTACACAAGGTGCCAGTTACTCTAGCATTCGTCAACATTGCATAATCAAGGACCTATTATTCCTTTAATGTTCTGTTTGGTCCTAGGGACCTGAAAATTAAAGGTTTTGTGCAATTATCAGTACACATATGGTTTGACATGATTAACAAATAACAGATAGTTACTTAAAAATATTTTAGCGCAACTAATTATAAAGTGCCAAAAAATGCCTTGTGACAAATATGACTACACTGGTAATGTAAAGCTTGGTCTGTTTAAATTATATGGCCAAGCTTTTATATAAACATGATTTAAAGACCAGACAAAATACTTGTTACATCCACTAGAAAAATACTAAGCTACGTGCAAATTGTAATGCAAAACTTGTAAACGCTGGTTCCTTCTTTATTTTATAGGTATGAAAGAATGGCAAACAGAAGAAATCATGGACCCTTGCCCCCTAGGTGGCTCCACTGTCCACGCAAAGGATCTTCACTTATTGGAGGTGTTTATTCTTTCACCAAAGATTTCTATAGCATTAGATGTAAAGGCATTTATTTTAAATAGACAGAAGGGTTAACTTGTCCATATAAGTACAAACCGTTAGATTGTGTTTTTTTTTTATACAAATACTAATATGTGAATATGCCCCTATATGCTTGCTTGTAAACAAATTTAAGTGAGCCTGGTGAGGTGTTGCTATGTCATTCTTTATATCTTGTAACATGGCACAATTCTAAGGACATTGCGCTAACAATACGGCAAGCCTTTATTGCAGTATAGTTGTATACATGTTGCTTTTTAGATAAGTTTTTGCCATTCAAGACGCCTCTTGACTCGCGTTATGATGACCAAGTACCAGAGGAATTTCGCTTTCCGGTTTCGATGTTGTTTATGTCGCTAAACAGTTACAAGGTATGTTTGTCAATTTATTGGTTGCACCAGATCAGGCATTTGTAGCATTGAGATGGCCAGAGAGAAGCCTCATTGCTACCATTTCTTTGAGTTGCTGCTTTGAAAAATGGAAGTACTACATTTTAAAACATCTCATCTTCCAGAATTTTTCGAGTAATCATCAAATGTGTCTGAATCTGTAGTGCAACATGCCTACAAGTATAAAAGTAGGAAAACAGCCATTTCATCTTAACTCTGGATCTGATACTTCCAAGCGGATCTATACGTGACAACACCAATTTTGTTCAACATAAACGGGGCGGTACTGGAGATCTCCTCTGCAAGTGTTCACACTAGAAGTCTTGAGCACTTTCTAAACCGACCGCGCGTGTTTCCCTCCACGCACACAGGTCAAAGCCGGTATCTGGATTGACCTGACGAACACGAATCGGTTCTACGACAAGGCTGAGGTCGAGAAGACGAGCACCAAGTACCTGAAGTTGCAGTGCCGCGGCTTCGGCGAGACTCCATCCGTCGATCAGACGCGCGCCTTCATCGAGCTCTGTCAAAAGTTTGTCGCTCAGCATCCGCTCGAGATCATCGGTGAGGCTGCTGCGGGTGGGGATGCGTGATGACGGTGCAATACGCTCCAATAACAATGCAATACTGCATGAAAACGAATAACAACAAAATTATAAAGACAAAATGTAAACAATACTAAAAATGATACAACACTGTGTAACAACAACATTATACCGACACAATATCGGCAAAATACTGTACAATAATGACACAGTACTGTATATACTAATATAGTATTTCGATGCTTATTATTGTAAATCATGTTTAATGTACGGCTGTCAGTAAAAGCGTGTAAAAATTCCTCAACAATATTGTTCTGCTTATCTTAGGAATACAAGTTTCTACATGTTAATATTTATGTTTAATCATATTATACTGTTAAAGAGTATTAATGGTGATGTCTGTTTAATTAACAAATATACTTGTTAAATATCATATGATGTGTCTTTGCATGGTGTAATTATATACATAGAATTATGGAAATCTCATTAACAATAGCTACATTTGAATATGTGCTGTAGTTAATTTTTCCTTTTTTTCTTTATTGAACAGTTATCCACTGTACCCATGGTTTCAACAGGACTGGTTTCTTGATCTGCTCTTATCTGGTGGAGAAATGCGACTGGAGGTAATGAGGAATTTATCTTTACAGAATATCATCCCACCATTTCTGAACATAAACGTGCATTGCTCTGATTACACTAAGATGAGTGGGCAATTTTGCAGAGTAACAAAACTACCCGATACTCGTGTCAAGAAGTCATGCAAATGAATATCGAAATGGGCGATTGATATTGTCAACTAAGTATAAATACACAGGCGCCTGGTTTAGTAGTCTTCTTGGTATTGTTCACAGTCAGATTAATTTAAGAAATGTTAAACCGAGAGAGGTGTTAAAGGGAGGCTAAAAATTTGAAACTGGCCACGTGAGTGAGTGTTTGTGAGTCTACTCTGTACGTTCTTTAGGTGGATGTGCGTGCATGCCTACTTATGTGTGAGTTGTTTCTTTGTTTGTTCTGAGTTGTTTCTGCGTGGCAACATGTATTAATACTGAACCTACTGCTGTCATTTGCATCACTTATTCATTCTAGTATCGAAGCAGCAGTGGATGCCTTTAAGAAAAGCAGACCGCCTGGCATCATCAAAGGACATTACTTGGAAGAGTTATTTGGCCGTTATGGCGACAGGGAAGATGCTCCTCCCCCTCCCCCTCTTCCGGACTGGTACACGGGTGAGTAGTTTTACACGAGTATTGCAGAACATTGATAGTTTTCCAGATAGTTGTCGCAAATGCAAGATAAACTATAACTGTTCGATAGGAAGAGCTGTACATATAATAATATGAGCATAATATATATAATAAAATCTCTCTCTCTCTATATATATATATATATATATATATACATATATATATATATATAATAACATATAGCGTAATATATGATGTTAACTTGTGAATGATAATCATGTCGAATGCTCAGAGAGTGACGACAGCAATCTGGACGATGACGGTGAGCCGCTGCCCAACAACCTCTCGCAAGATGGCAGCACGCAGAATGGCAGTCGGAAGCGATTCAAGCGCGAGCTGCACGTGAAGGTGCGTACGGTGAAGCCTTGACCTTCGCGAATCCCACTCGCGCTGTCGCTTGCTCTCGCGAACTTCTCGGCTGCAGTGCGAAAAACCAGTGTGAGGTCCATATGTGATTGATGAAGCAGTTGTGCAATCGTCGCAATCACCTGTTGCTTCTCGCTTGCATGTTACCCCCCCCATGCACTCTAGCATAATCTACATCACACCTCCACATAATCCTTGTGATCGCCTACCTTAAGCTTCATGGTACATGTGTAAGATACGGAATAGAAGTCGTACTCAGTGCCCCGTTAGCATTCATTGTGAACTATGGGTCGCGTTCTGGGGATTGGGGTGGGGGGGTTCTGGGGATTTGCCAGGATTTCAAACACCTGTCCATCGCGATTCTTAAGGGTTTACCATGTGAGCGACGGATTGGTGTTGTGGCGTATGACAGACCTGCCTTACCTGCATATCTACAATTCCTTCAGGGAACTCCAGTGAAAACCAAAGTGACATGTAAATGTATCAATTTGTCTCCCACAGTTGTGGAAAATAATATTAACAGTGTAAAGGGCTGTTGTGCTAGCCAAAATCTTATGCATTTTAAAATTTGTCTGACTATCTGAAATTCCATTTGGGAAACTGATTCGACTGGGTGAAATTATATGTGCTACAGAATTTATATTGAATGCTGATTTCAGAATCCAAAGTTCATGGACGGGGTGAGTGGTATCACTCCGATTACTATGCAGCCAACGCTAGCACAGATACAGAGAAAATGTCAAGACATGTGCAAATGGAATGGGTGAGTACTATGTCAGTGATACCATGCTAACAGTCAGGCTGAAGAAAACTATCTATACGCGAGGTCGTCGTACCCTGGTCAATGCAACATGCCATTTAAATGCTCATCTGAACTGTCAGGCAATGTTGCTAATGTTTAAAGCTCTTGTCTAAAGTTTGGAGTCAACACGATATAGAGATATATACACACAATGTGTGTTTTTAATGAATGGTGTGTATTAGCCATGATTGTATGCCACCTAGTGATATTATTAGTCAGTATTTTATTGTAGGACTGGATTTCCTGGAGCTCAGCCAGTATCCATGGACATCCATAATATTTCCTTGTTGACCAAGAAACCATACAAGGTTAGCTGGAAAGCTGATGGATTTAGGTAAGTTGATGTCAATATTGAAAACATCTCTCAGTGTGGCATGAAAGATGTGTATAAGCATGTGTATGGGTTCTGTGTGTATGCATGCATGTTGCGACCTAGTGTTGCGTATGCTGCACAGTTGTGTGCGTGCGTGAGTTCGTGTGGAATCGTGATATAAAACAGATCGTTTATGCAGGTACATGATGCTGATAGATGGTGAAAACCAGGTTTACATGATAGACAGAGATAACTGTGTCTTCCAAATCGACAGCCTACGGTTTCCAAAGCGAAAACAGCCAGAGGAACATGTAGTTGATACGCTAGTGGATGGGGTATGTGCCCAAAGATGCAGTCTAATTCAAAATCCTACCTATCTCACTGTGTGACGAGTCATGCTTATTTGTACATCCTTGTATCAATGCGCAGAAAATAACGAAATTTCTTAATTTAATTTTAAAATCTAGTAAGTTCATATCACTTTAGTAGTAAGTGCTGCGTTTGCTTTTCTTTTTATTAAAAAGCAATTATCACATTATACGTTTGCAAGTAATGTACGTGGTTGCATTTTTACTGAGGCATTTGCTTCTTAACTGTCTTTTTTTATGTGATAACTATGAAAACAAATGTGGCAGCATAGCATGCAAACAATGTTCTGAAGTTTCTCAAAAAACCTCTTTGTCTGACAGGAGATGATTATTGATGAGGTTGATGGAGAAAAAGTGCCCAGATATCTATTATATGATATAATCAAGTTTGAGGTAACTACTATTCTAAATGACTTGTCAACTTTTAATTGCGGACATATCTATTATATGACGTCACGAAGTGTGGCATAATTGCCCAAACGTCTATTATATGACATCAAGTATATTGTGAGTGGCAGGTGTCTATTATATGACCGTCAATATGCAATTTTTGTGGAAAGTTCTATACTATTGTACTGCCAGTGCTATTAAGATATTTAGGTAGCTGCTATCATATGTGCTGAATGTTGTTTGCTTTACAGGGTAATGATGTAGGTGGATGTGACTTTGACAGGCGGTTGCTATGTATAGGAAGGGAGCTGATTGGCCCCCGACATCAGATGATGACGCAAGGGAAAATTGATAGAACAAAAGAATCTTTTAGTGTTCGAGCGAAACCATTTTACGACCTGACGGAAACGAGAAAGGTACTATTTAGTCGTTTTTAGTTTGAATTAGTGTTTTAGTCCCTTAAATAATCGAACAAGTTGGACATGAGTTTTTTCACCTTTTGGTATATTTCTTTTTTTTTTATACATATCAGTGTTTCCTCTGCATTTACACGCCGCCTCGCTCAAATCTCAGCCGCCACGCAGAAATTTATCCAAAAACACCGCCTCGCTGACGAAAATCACTGTTCTTCCATCAATAAACTACACTATTGACAGCGTTCGAAATTAGTGCCGACCCGGAGGCCCGAGGCCACCAAGTTTTTGCTTCGGCTACCATCTCTACGAAACTGCCGGTCCTCCTGACCGGCATTTTTTCTCTTCATATTACGCTGAAATACTACGGTTATCGCAACGGCAGTTTAGACAGAAATGTAAACAGGAGCGCATTCTAATACACGCCGTTCCTGAACGTAGACGGGGTATCCAAAACATCTAGAGCCGAGGGCATGAACTCCCTCAACGCATGATTCGCCACACAAACAAAACCTTGTGACAGTCTAAGAAATCGATTGCGGCGGCATGTACCGTAGCCCAGTGTTTTTATGCCCGCATAACAATAAGTTCATATGTCGCAGGGGTTATCGTGGGGAGTGAGGGCACGACCAGTGACACCTGACGCGCACATAATCAAAGCTGCTGAATTCGTCACTTTTTTTTACGTAGAAAAATGGCCTATTTTTATTCAGTTAGATATCTAGAAGCAATGTAAACTGTATATACTTCAAGATTCTAGGTACTTGTAACATTGCGGATATGCGGCAGCATTGATCTATGCATGGGGGTACCGAGGACTGGGGAGGAGAAAAACGAAAGTAAAACCTTTTCCAGAAGCTTGTTTGTTCCTTTTGACAACTGTAAAGGTGATTTAAGAGTCATATAATGTGTTCAGAATAGCTTAGAATGCACCAAATTGCACCATTTTTTTAATTTCCGGGGGAGCCCCCTAGCATCGCGATCACCTTCGGTGCTCACGTTGCTCGCTACTCGGATTGCGCAACCACTACGCAATTTTTTTTACCGCCTCGCTTACCTGTTTGGCCAGGGGAAACACTGCATATGGTCAGGAGTCTATCAATAGACTCCTGATATGGTAATGCAATTGAGGGGGTGGCATAATTCATAGATATATCGATGTATATTGGAATACAAACCCAGACGATACACGTATCAATATGTTGGACTATTAATGATACACATATCAGTACTCTACTGAATAAAATCCATATCGTTTAGTAGCGTAGTTTTATTAAAAAACAAAAGAAACAGCAGAGATCGTGATATGGATCGTATCGTGTGCTACATGTACCGTCCGCCCCAGTGATTAGTGGTACACTTGCATGTGTAGAAGGTATACCAGTGGAGTGAAGCGAAGGAATTTTAAAATTAAGTGTGTTGGCTTTGATATGTAAATTTTTTACGTGCTGTGTTTTTTCAGCTTCTCGATACGAAGTTTACAGGCCAAGTATCTCACGAAATCGATGGTTTAATCTATCAGCCTGGAACTGATGTGAGTGGCGAAGTGTGATGTTGCTACATACTATGATGTTGGCAGCAAGGAGCTAAATATAACAAGGAGAGGAAGCGGATTGGCTGTGCGCTTTTCGCCTCAAGGGTGCCATCTATGGACCATAATCAGCTGAAAAGGCTGTGCAGACCGAACCCAGAGACAATAGAACACTAATCTGTTCTAGGGTCTCTGCCGAATCCAAATTTTGGGCCAGATATGGCGGCGCTTCCTCTCCTTGTTATATTTAGCTCCTTGGGTGGCAGAAGCATGCTGATTATAACAGTGTCTATGCAAATGTGATCATGTTCATGCCAGTACGTGCGAAGAGGCACGCACAGACACTGACAGACTAGATGAATGAAAAGGCACTCACACGGACGGACGCTACACGCACGCACATACGTATCCGTGTTTGCACATTATTTATGAAAATTCTAGAGAGCTGATCTGCGTACGCCAAGTTTAGCGAGTGCTCGTTTAGGTCGTCAAGCGTTAATAATACGTTTTACTAGTCGTATGTATATAACTAACGTGTGTGTATTTCAGCCCTATCATTGCGGTCGTTGCTCGGATATGCTGAAGTGGAAACCGGCGTCACTAAACACAATAGACTTCCGGATGAAAATAGCGCAGATAGAAGGTGTAGGGTATGTAGTCCTGCAGCAGTCTGTATGCACAACGACAATTTCTAACTGCAAGCGAAATAATTGGTGAAATAACGTGGGCAACCCACTCATCGAAAAACAGACCATGTAATTATGTATCTATGTTTGTCATTCTATTTGTGTACCGTACGATTTTTCTCTGGCTTCTAATATATTTCATCGGCTCATGGTGAAGGTGAGATCATTTACCTAGTGGAGATTAATTTCGTTTCGGATGGGGAAAGAACCTAACCCGATGTTCGCACATCTTGCAGATTGTTAAAACAGAAGGTTGCATGCCTCTATGTCGGTGGCTTGGATACGCCGATGGCACAAATGAAGGTACAGTCATCCCATCCTTTACATCTTCCCAACTGACGATCTCTCACCTGTGTGTATATGCTGTTACATTTGTGTGTTATTTGGTATATAATCAATAGTATAGATTTAGAGGGCTATGAAATGGGATGCAGCAAAATTTTTACAGATTTGATGATGTTTCTGGGATTGGTTTAATCAAATTCAATTATTAATTAGGGTTCGTTTGGGTCCTTGAATGCCTTAAAGGTTCCAGCAATTTCAAATAACATTTACAGGTATGAAAACTCCAGAAAAATTACATATGATTCAGGAACGTCTTGTAAAATGTGTTATTATTATGTTTAATCACGTAAAGTCTTGAGAATCGAACACACGTGATACAGTGTACAGTGTCCAAATTTTACCAATTATAATACAAGTATAATATACTGAAGATGTAGCACTGTTTACTGCCTGAGAGGCAATAAAACGTGAGACAAGTGATGTTGACTAATTACGGCTAGAACGGATAGGATACATTTGTCTTGTATCTTTTAGTTCTGGAAAATTAATTTTCTAAATCCTAGAAAAGCCACCAGGGAGAAGTCATGGAAAATTGTTTTGCTTTATGTGTATGGACCCCGTTAATTGTCAATATTGGTAATTTCATTCGGATATGTTTGTTTTTTTCAGCTTACAAAAGAACTAAAAGAATTGGACAACAAAATTCTCGAGTGTAAATTTGAAAACAACAGTTGGAAGTTCTTGAGACAAAGAACAGACAAGTCATTCCCGAATGCATATTCAACTGCTATGGGTAAGGAAGCATGGAAATTCTACAAACACTTAGTTTATCTACATGCTCAAATATAAAAGGAAATTTGCTCTTGCTGCTATTTGCATTATATGACAGTTTCACTTCAAAATTACAGCCTAGATTGCTAATGGATTTTCAGCCAAAATCTATTTGATTAAGCATCCGTATGGTCTCTAATACTTGGCTACCTTACCACACTGGCCTTACACAATCAAGAGTGCCACCCCTAATGGGATTCTATCGCAGACATATTTATTAGCTCATCTGACATAGTCAGATGCAGCTTGTAGAATCGCATGAGCGTGCGTCCGTCCGTCCAACCGTCCGTCCGTGCGTGCGTTCGTCAACAGTTGGGCACAAATCTGAAAGCTGCACACACATTGCACACAACAAGCGGGGGGCTTTTTTTACAATGTGTCTATAAAAGACATTATAGCGCTGGTTGGTATTAAGCTGGCAGCACATCATGTTTCGTGCTAGATAAAGGCCAAGTTTCGTGGTCGCTACAAAATATGGCCAAGGTGCGGGGGCCGGCACGACCACTCACCACGGAAATTAGTGGTGACCACGATTGCCGAGAAATCAAACCGGTTTTGCTTTCTCATCACGAAAATTGTCGTGGTGACAACTTGTGGTGAAGGTGCGCAGCCACACGGCAATCGTGAACAAATCACTCGCAGACCAATCAAAATTAGCGCTGCCGTCAATGAGATTTCAAAATGGGCTCAATACAAATACAAATATACAACAAATACAAACATACTAAAATACAAATATACAAATATAGCGCTCCTTAGGCCTAAGTAACAGAAATGATGAAAATTTATATATTAGCAAATATACAAATATACAAACTATACCACATACAAAAATACAATATACAAACATATGGCCTAGGCTATAGTACAGAATATTGATAAATGATTATTTTCTTTATTTGATAACTGTTATGAATGGTGTAAAGCCTAACAACATCTGGCCAACAAAATTGGCCGTGCAAGCAGCCACGTACCCCACTAGTTGGTGGCGTGTGCTGTGACGCGCGTCAAAAAGCGCCACAAAAATTGCCGACACCCGAAATTGCTCCTGCTACGAGCAACAAAATTGGTGAAGTGTGCCTGCATGCTTAAATGCTATCGGCTTCAAACAGCATCTCAGATAAAATTCTACTAGGATTCTATATATCTAAGTAATATCACATAATTAGCTAATTAGTAATTATTATAACGAATTGAAATGATTTTTCTCGGCACCACCATTCAGAACCGTTCGCGTTGTCTTTTCGGTCTGCCGTCTCTCATCGGCACTGTCTGTGGCTAATTCTGTGGAGCAGGCGTTAGTAGTAGGTAACACTAACGCATGCTAGTATAGCAGTTACTCCTTTTCTTCCGTGTATGTCCATACTGTTCGCAAGTTCTCGGATGACGTATTGCGTTACAATTTGCTCGCAGTCCTGCTAAAGTTTGAAGCCGATTAAGGAGTGCGTTGATCCCATTGCTCGCCCAAATGCCCGTGATGTAAAGATGCCTAAGTAAAGTAAGCGGTCTGTTATGTATTTTGTTAAGAATCGGATCACCTCTCTAACACGGACAGATCAATAAAAGTACATGCAAACAAAATTAATGCTCTTTCAGCACGCTGTCGCACACGGAGACACGCACGCACGCGCGCACACCCACGCACGCGCGCACGCACGCGCGCGCACACACACACGCATGCACGCACACACACACACACACACACACCACACACCACACACACACACACACACACAACACAAACACCAACACACCACACGCGCGGCAGCGCGCGTGCAACTCAAACACTGAAAATGTGTTGTTGTCCCTACTGCAGGATGAAATGCGCAGTGCGCTGGCGCATCGTCGTCATTGTCCAGCGAACATCCTTTGACTTCTTGTAGCGTGAACCGTTGATACATATCTATGTTCATTTCTGTATACCTCTTTTCACATTGTAAACCTAATTGATAAAAATCCGGTTACATAACTTTTCAAGCTAGTGCTGCAATAGAGTGATAAGATAGTGTGACATTTTGCTCATATAGATACTTTTCATTCTTATTTCTCGTCGCACACACAGTTAGCATGACACATTATTTCCCAGCGTCATCACAGGCATTGATTCTCACACTTACGCTGCTCAATTTCGGTACATTTTTACTATAATGTTTTCAAAAATACTTCTCACCGTAAACGTCTTTCTGTATGACAACATAATAATTGTTCATGTCATGGTATATAGCTAAAATAATGCGCTACTGAAGGCCCTAATCATTGATAGTAAACATTCACAAATATCGGTTTTTTCGACGAGACGCAACGTTACACTCACAGGTTCTTTCATCGTCTACTTTGCTTTTTGTGGCGTTGCTCCCAAATATGACGTCGCACTGCCACTGGAGCAGACGCAGAAACGGTGGTCAGGGAAATATATTGTAGAGGCGCTCGTCTCCAACTACTCAGCATAGTCGCACCTCTTGTATCACGGCGCGCGGCTGCACTTCGCATTATCGTAGACTGTGGCGAAGTTAAGAAATGCAGGAATCTGTCATTGCAAGTTAAATCAGTATGATCGATAAGCATCGTTCGTTTATCATACATTAAACCAAACGTATTCAGCAATTTCGACACTTAAATTATCAAGCGATTGTTTGTTTCCGCTTTTCTCAAGATAACATTCTCAGTGCCGTCCGTCTATCTTACCGATACTCCGTATTGTGCTAGAATCCGGAGATCCCTTAGATGTCCAGGGCTAATATTACTAACTTATAAAGATGTGCTTAATTAACTCTTCATATTTTAGACGACACACGCGGAGAAAGATGGTGCGCGATACTTAAACAGGGTGCGATATGATCTGAGGCACGTAGCGTCCATGAACCAATCCTCGAGTGGAACTTTCTAGAAGCTGGCTAACTTCTTCGATCGGCTGACCTCAGAGGCGAATCGTGAACATTCAGTCAACAGGGATTCGGCAGATCGAGCGAACCTATGAAGTATGTAAAACAAACGGGAGAATTAGTACTCAAAGAGGTAATCATGACGTGTAGAACCAATTGGAACTACCCTGATGCACATTAACATACCATACTATTTGTTCAAATAATCATAATTATATTTACTAAAATTCATAATTATTAATAAGATAAAAAAACCGCATAATTTGTACGGTTAGAAAGAATCAGCGCGTTTCAAATAATTTGTCCCCTTTTTTCATCAGCATCGTCCATAATTGTGTAACGATCACTAAACGTTGATTAGCTTGCGATAGAAACGCGCGGAGTTGAGGGTTTCTTGCAAGTGCTTGATGCGAATTCCGTCACGTTAAATACTCTAGACCCGTGCTGCGACTTTTGGGTCTCTTTGATTGAACCAAAACATACACATACATGTTATTATTTTCCTATAACAGTGGTAACTAACCTATTCGTTCTTACCCTAACTTCTCCATTTTCTCCATTCGTCTTTCGTTCTGATCCTCCCCTCTTTTTCTCGCTTTCTTTCCGTGGGTTGTCCGCGCGCTGCTGTGTCTGTGCCATAGTAAAGTACTTATCATGCGCTTCTCATTCTCGCTTACTTTCTCCTCTCCCTCTTACCTCCCTACTGATTTCGTTTCATCATCAGATCGAATATAGATACTAAACTAACAAGTTTGGCAATAAATCTCGATATTAGGTGGTATAAGCGGAGGACTGTGTGGACCAGAGACAGTTATGCTTAGGTCGCTGGATTGAAAAAAATCGCCGAAGATTTCATTAGTGTGGTTTTTTAACTTATTTATGAAAGTAATATAAATAGTTTCGATTTAAATTATTTCTATTTGTAAATATTTAATATAGGAATGTATATAAGGACAACATTTCTTTCACACACCAGACCATAACATTTGCATAACTGAAGGCCAACGGCACAAAATGGAAATCTAATATATATATAGATACAATAAACTGTATTTATGATAAATGGTTATAATTTGGGAATTAAGCAAGAAGCCTGTTGATAGCTCATTGGTAGAGGAGACTGTAGAAGATTATGAACGGTTATCGTTATGTTCGCTAGTTGAATTCCGCTCGAAGAATCAACTTTAATGGCACTACACTCAATGACAACTGTAGCGCATTTACATCTTCAGTCATATGAAATAAGGATACCATTCTCGTTAACATTGTGATGATGATAAAATACATACGATTAGCTTAACTCGAATTCTTTAATTGCACAACGTCGGCAGTTTTACGCGTACGATTATAGACGATCTACATACGCGCTCCGTATTTGCTCTCATGCAATTTTATTTATCTGCACGAGGAACATAAACCGATCGAACTACGCTATGAATGAGCATTGGCTTCGCCTTTTGTTATAATTTTTGCTTCAGTTTACCACGCCTATTCTTCCGATTGTCTAATGTGCTTGCAACGTTCGTTATTTATAGGCTGCGCGTGTGGCTTCTGTTAATGTACCATTCATGTGTAATGTTATCAGCGCGCGTTCTTCTCTCGGTCATGCCTTCACTATTTATTTATTTATTTTATCTCTTGCTCTATCCTTATCACGCCACCCCCCTCTTTAACTTTCATCTATCTCTGTATCTTGCCATGTTTCTTTGTCTGCAAAAGTCAGACTAACTTGTGGCAGTTCATCACCATGCACGCCTCATAAAGCTCAGTTGGTAGAGCGGAGGACTGTAGTGGAAACGGCAGTTATCCTTAGGTCGCGGTTCAAATCCGGCTCGAAGGATAATTTTAATTTCAATTCAATAATAAATGCGGTAATTGTAGAACCGTTTAACCAATAGGCCCGACTCAGTTTACCTGGTTGGCATTCTAGCGTCCTAGGTTTGCTTATGCGATAACAACACTTATGGTGTAACGGAGCACACATTTTAGACAATACTTTTATACGCGATTATTACTGATACCACTGGCCATCTTTATTAAACAAGTTAAGTGTTAGTAATTGGTTGCAACGTAGTTGATGGGATCAAACTTGAGTATTTAATAACTACGACAGCTTTTTCTTGATTCCGCATTGATAGTTGTAACTGAAAGAACTCGCAGCTCCTCGATAGCTCGTTGGTAGAGCGGAGGACTGTATAGTGGGTTGATAAGCAGTTATCCTTAGTCCCCGTGTTTCAAATCGCGCTCGAAGGATTGCGATTTTAAACTGATTTACGTCCAGTAAATAAATATAGTTTAGATTTAATTACTGTATGATTGTGAAACTATATGTAAACAGGCAATTAACAACCACATTCATTCTCTTTCAAAAATCAGCACACAATATAGCATACTGACAGCCACGCCCGCAAGTGGAATAATATTAAGTTAGTCAGTGATAGCACTTTATGGTTATAAATATATGATATTTATAATGGTTATAAATGGTTTAAGTGCGGTATGCAGTAGAAGTTAGCTAGCGCGGGAGGACTGTAGGAGTCATAGCAGTTTATGCCTAGTGCGCTGGTCTAAATCGCGGCTCGAAGGATAAGTTTTTTGAATATTTGATGTCATTGTATAATAGCTTCAATTTAATGGTGTCTATTGCACGGAATGTAATGAACGGCATTTAAGCACCAACTTTCATTTTCTTTTCACAAAACGCCACAAAAATTTGAAAATATTGATGAGCAACGCGCAAGGTGGAAATCCTAGATAGATATAGTTAAGCATGATAGCTATTATTATGAAACATGGTTTAGAATTTTAGATTAAAGCTAGACCTTCGGTTAGCTCAGTTGGATAGGGGAGGACTGTAGAGGAAGTATGAACGGTTAGCTTAGGTCGCTGGTTGAAATCCGGCTCGAAGATTATTAGTTTTGCAATACACTCGATGACAATGCAGCTATCGCACTTTAGCTTTACACTGTACATCAGTATTACACTTTAGCCAATAGGTAAATCAGATCCTATATCTCGTTCAACATTATGACACCGATCAGGTAACGGGCTTACGGAATTTATGAATTACTTAAACTGAATATGACTAATGTGTTCTAATATTCTTTATAGGGTCACGTTCGGTGTTAATAGACGACTATATAAACATTTCCTCTCTCATCTCCGTCATTGTTATTCTCTGTCACGAGACCAACGAACTAAATTTATATTATGGTCCATTTTGCGCGCTATATTTTTTATATATATACAATGTCTTACACAGGTTCGAGCATCGTAAACAAATTGCCAGGATCAGAAAATTACGGGTTGAAAGTTTGATAAACTGATCGTTAAACGAGGTAACAGATTTTAGTTTGGGGAACGCTTTATGTGTTATTGAATTTAGTGTAGCGGTGGTAGCGGCGCGTGCGCGGATATGGAAGTGCGGTGCGATGGCCTGCACGGCGTGCGTCTCCTTGGTTCAGTGGTGTACGTGTTGAGTGCCGTGCCACATCGCTTTAACGTTTGTAATATTATATTTTCCTCTGTACTCGCCATAAACGTAATCACAATTAACGTATACTTCTCCCCGACATAAGTTGAGTAAACGTTGACCGAGCGACGTCAGCGTGACAGACGGAATCGTGTTTCTAGTGGCATTAGCCAGACGTATGGTGCTCGGAGATAAACGGCTGGAAAATGCCATATCGTTTCTCTGTCCTTTGGATTCGCAACCTGGGCACACCACAAAGGTGCCAATTAGCACAGGCAGTTAGATTACGATCCACGAAGCACGCTTCAATCAAGCAATTTATTTTTGTAGAACGAGCCCCAAAGTGTGTCCTTGTGGTAATAAAATCGCCGAATTGCATCGAGGAACATGAGAGTTTTATTCGCCGCCCTGCAAAAGGGCTGAGACGTGGAAGACCACGTACGACTGCCGGAGTTATGCGGGCAGGAGACACCGTGTCGGGCGTACCGTAACAGCCTGCATGGCAGCAGACGTGGATATAGACTCATTATGCTTTACGCGTGTTCCGGATACCCGATTGACTAACACGATGCGTGACGGGGTCTATATTAATATACGTGTAGGGTACACGAGAATATGGCCGGTACATTTTTAACCCGGATCTACAGTTCGCGCAACTTATTTGCTGTACGCTAATGCCATCATGATGCTGTGATGCAATGTGTTATAGTCTTGCGCACATCTAGACTCCAACGCACGTGGTTATATTTTATATGCAGAATTTAGTAGGAGTGAATAAGAGATAATAATTTATTACTGTAGCCTTTAAGGCTATTACGCTGAGTATATTTCCGCGGTGGTTTAATTAATATTTCGCAGAAAGTTGCGAACGCCGTTCCCGACGGGAAATAACAGACACGCGAAAATTTTAATAGCAATACGGGTCTTCACTGATTCTGCGGAATTCACCGACCGCGAAATAAACAAGTTCGCGAAATGCCTTCAAGTCTGAATTCACGGAAAAATATGGCGACTGTATCAAGTCCTGATATAGTATGCATAGAGGTATGTGCAGTCGGCCCAATTAACTGTCTTGACATGTGCCATCAAAACGACCCGGGTATCTTATTTATTTATTTATTTGTTAATCAATTAAATTAGTTTATTTAGCGTTCGCTCGTGAGCGCATGTGTGTTTATTATCTTAACCACGAAGCGACAGACTCCTTTGTAGGCGGCGGCGATATGCGAACCTGGAACGCGTTTTCCGAATCGGTGGCGTCTGCTACACCGAACATGGCGCGATCGTAGTCGTCCTGGAACTGGTGCAGCGTGAGGCGAGATTCGCTCCTCAGCATCGCCAGCACCACCTGGTGAGCGGTCGTCGCACCAATGTGTTGCATGTCGCTGGCATCCAGAACCGGCATCTGTAAAAAAACGTAGTTTCAGTCGTTTTTGTAGTTTTATTAAATATTTTTATAAATTTCGAGTCTTTCGCTTAATAAAATGGTAACAGATGGCATGCGTATCGAAATCACGTAGTCGTTTAGATTTCTTCGGATTTTTCGCCGAAGAATTATTTTTGCTTTGTCTTTCTGTCGCTCTTGGTTGAGCATTGAATGTGAATTAAACACTATCTTCGAGGATGGATACTGACAGAGAAAAGCTCATAGGGTAGCTAAAAAGGGGTACAGTGTGGATATGTATAATTTCCGTTACCATAATGATAGCCATGACATGAGTGGCACGCAACAGTAGCTTTCCGGCAATTGTTCACCAGCGTCGCACTGTTTCACGTAATGAAACGCGCACGTCGGTTACCAACATCTTTATGTGGCAATACCATGGAAATAATATACTAGTTAGACTATATTAGTTAGACTATGTATATAACATGTATATATATATATGTGTATATACAGATAAAATATAGATGTAGACTATAGAGATATAGTTGGACTAGTTGGTGTTTTTATATATTTCTATGGGCAATACGCTACATTAGAGAGTATTATTCTTCATTGTAATCTAAGATAGATGTCTTATAGATGTAGTCTAGAAAGAATAAATAGTCAGATTGGCTTTGTGTAAAAATTATGTATCATTGCTGAATGATGGTGCCATGGTAAAAGCCCCAGTAATTTCTATATATATATAATGTTACATTCCCCGAATTTAAGCAAAATGCGTACCATGTCGCTGCCAAAGGTTTAGTGTGAAGTATACACTTTTGTGGTCCTTTAACACGCATAAGGTATATGTTACGTGTGCAAACTGCCAAGTATTTTTAAGGTTTTGGTGTCTTGCTTATTCAGGTCTGCTAACTATGTACGACATCTGCTTTAGCACTCAAATAATTACCCAGGAGTGAGGCTGCGGATTTCCCAGACTTAATTTTCTCATCAAATTTTGGCACCAATATAGACGCAAGTCTGTACGTTCTTGAGCTTATTCGGTCCACTAATCACTGGCCTACCTTGTACTGAAATTAGTTTACAGATATTTGCTATCGTATTGCTGTAAATTGTAAATCTTGCACGAGCTGCTCTGGTTGTATCAACCATTGAGCTATTTTGTAACGAGCCAGATGTGCCTCGCAAGGGGTTTAATGTACCTTATTACCTGACACCATAGAACGCACGTTATCTATAGTAATAATATGGTAATTATTCGCTCCTGCTTTTTGCAATCTGTCGTCACACTGACAGCAGCCATGCTTTGGCTGACCGATGCAACAATGTCTTTGATAGCGGCCCACCATCTATCGGAATTTTATTACACTAGTTTCAAGTGTTGTTTTTTGGGGTTAGAAATGAACGTATGTATAGGACGTTTTGCTATGCACAAATGAATTTATCAGCAGAACACCAGACACCAGATGAGCCCTGTCGCTCTGCGGCACTTGTTACACCGTTTAATTATTATTAATAATTAGCTATTATCATTGCGTTTATTGCAGACGTCTGTAACAGTATCAAGCAAGGTTGATGTTCCTGATATTGTTTGTATTATGTGTGTATTTATTGCAGGAGTCTGTAACAATATCAAGCAAGGATGGCGTTCCTGATATTCTTTGTATAATGTGTGTATTTTATTGCAGGCGTCTGTAACAGTATCAAGCATCCGGTCACCCGGGAGATGCTGCTCGACGTCATAGACCGGCACCGCTTCCGAGCGCCTGTTCAGAAGCCCCTCGCAGCCCCAGGTGGGAGCGGGAGCAGCCGACATGACGAGGGACTAATGCCTCCACCACAGCTGCCTCCGAGTAGTCACTGAGAAGATGTGCGTTTCGATCTGGTGTGTTGCCCCTTTTATTCCCGCCCCCCACTCCCCACCCACCCTCTTTCCTCTTCTTCCTTCTTGCTCTACCACCCTCGATCGGCGTTATGACAGAAGGAAGTAAAACTTTCGTGCCCTGCTGATTATGTATGCTATGATCTGATATGACGGTTGTTCTCTTGACGTCTTGCGTTTATCTCACGGCACCTGCTTTGTTCCCCAGAGCTGGTGTCCCACCGACAGTATCTCTCTTCCAGTGCTCATACGTCGCGTCTCAGTGTACGTGAATTGTGCTCCGTTCACGTACTTTTTAGAATGGTCAGAAATGGTGTGTTAGGAGCAGTTCAGTGTATGCGAACATGATATTCATTCCGTGTGCGTGCGTGCGTTAATAGAAGGCTAACAATCGACCAATTTCCTACAGTTCCTGTCATTCTGTTTATTCTGTCTTTCTACAATGTCTCGCTTTTATATTTTTTTGCATGTCTGTGCAAGGGTGCTGGTTAACGAAGGAGCCATTACTAAGCAACATCACGAATGTTTCCCTTCTGTCAGCTCAAATTCCTTGTGAGAGTTTTACAAAGTTCGTGAGAATGAAAATGTTTTACACAAGCTAATCATTTTCAAAGGCACAGGTAGTATAAGATGTTTCAGAAGTTCAGGAATTGGGCTTCTATTGCCATTCTTCGGTTTGAGTCGTATTCAGTGTCACTCCTAGGTGCCATAATGAAGCGTGCTATCTAAAGTCTTAGTATGTTCCTGCATCTGCATCGTCGATTTCGTTGAAAAAATTTGGACAGCTCTGCGAGCGACTCGGGTCGGCTGTAAGAAAACTCGTCAACTCTAGTAACCACTTGCGAGGGTATGACAGTCGTGTCGTGATCGTCCGCTTTATGATATACGATTATTTCTGGTAGCTATGAAAACTTTCCGACATTGGACTTTTATGTTTTATATCGCTCTTGCTCTCTCTCCCTCTTCCCCCTGTCTCTCTGTTTCTCTCTCTTCCTCCATCTCTCCCTCCCTCTCTCCCTCTCTCACTCCCCACAATGTGTCTCTCACCCTCTCTTTCTCGTTCTCTTTCTCCCTCTCTCTCACTCCCATCCCCGTCTCTTTCCCCTCTCTTTCTCTTTCTCTCGCGCTTTCTCTCCCTCTTTCTCTTTCTCTCGCGCTTTCTCTCCCTCTTTCTCACTCTGATTCTCTCTGAATCTCTGAATACGTCTGTTTTTTTTCTCGCCTTACCACAGTTCAGCGCAAGCGATTAGTGTGATTAAAGAAGAAGGTCTCAACATGTTCTCTGTGATGAACTGATGGGAACTGTTCCGGCCACGCTCTAACACTCGTTGGCTTTCATGGCTATATTCTAACGCTGTGCAAACTTGCCCCACTTCGTAAACAAGTGCTCACGCCTTCTACATTGTGCCCTGCATCTATCGACAGACTCGGCAGCTTACTGTTCTGCATAACATTCATCGATGGATCATTCCTCATTCATCGATGGAGCTTAGCGTGAGAACTTCGATAAACCGTCGCCGATTTTCTCAGACGAGTGCATTTCTACGTTTTTGAGTTGAGTCGAGGTTGAGTGATTGAGGAATGTATTGGGATGTCAGATTCGTGCATTCAGCACATCCAAAAGGGAGCATCAGGGTCCATTTGTCCACAACACATAACTTTGGCATTTTAAACTTGCGCGTGTGAGTGATTAAGTTCGAATCTTTGATGCATTATATGATTCCTAGTCGTCGCGAATGCCGTTGTAATGTACTCCCGTAGATGGCAGCAGGAGAGCGTTAAAGGGACAGGATCTGGCATTTAGGTGCTCTCGTGCACTCTGTGAGTTTGGCACAGAATTCTGCCTGCCGGTGGCTGACAGTCCTCACACTAGCCGTTTTTAAACGGTCTGCTTGCAGCTCATGTTTCTATATTCAGCACTGCGAACACGAATCATTAGTGTCTGCAGGTGTCGCCTGCTGGAACTTGCATGTACCTGCAGCATTTGTAAATGCCAAATTCTGTTCCTTCAATGGTTTTCCTTATGAGATGTATCGAAACCTTGTTTTCAAGTTTCGAGCGTGGTCACTTGCAGTGTTTTTGTATGAGCGCATGACACCTCCCGGCTATCATATTTTATGCAATGGCGCGTTGCCGCTGGAATACGCACTAGCATATATATTCGTCAAACATGGCCACTTGTGTAAATAAGTATATTCATGAGTTCGCCCCCAGTGTGAAAGAATACGTCAATTGAGTGCGTCCGCCGATACTTTTGGAGAACAGAAATATCTCCGTGCGGTGGCGCTGCGTGCGCTACAGGGTGTAATTAGTTTAACGTGATGTGAAATGCACTCATCAATGATTGTTGTGTTTTTATATGAAGCCATTTCGATGTTTGCGTTGTGGATGCTGTGAAAAGCGTGCGATAAAGTCAATTCCAGAACACTATTAAATAGTATAATATGACCCACGCAGAGCTGCGTAGCGAAGGGCGCATCACAATTGTATATTTTGTACAGAAATATCGTGCGTACACGTGAGTGTGTGCGTACGTGCGTGCGTGCGTGTGTGTATGTGTGTGTGTGCGAGCGCGTGCGTGCGTGTGTGTGGTGTGTGAGCGCATGTGCGTTCGTGTATATGTTCGTGCGTGTGCGTGTATGATTGGTATTAGTAAGCCGTCGTGTTGTAGTAATGTACGACAGGATTGTGTAAAATAAATTTTACTCTGAAAATGATTACTGTTTTTACGATGGTTTTTATTTTATACGTACGCGCGCTATGTAATAAATATTAGTTACGGTTATTACTAACCTTCAGTAACCCAACAATTGGTGCAACTGCAACAACTGCAATTATAAATATATAATGTGTTCTACCGTTAGACTACACAACGTTTATCAAAGTTAGCATGGGTCTGCTACAGCAACTGTTATTTATAGTTCTGTATGATGAAAACATTCTATTTGCTTCGGTTGCAGCCGTCTTTTTTGACATTTTTATCTGTGATGGCAACACCGGTCTATTCTAAGCTAGATGGTTTTTAGTATTTCTAGTCTACAAGGGCTCGGGTCTACCTTAGGACCCACCGTGCTTCTCTATATTCTTCTTCGTCTTCTTCTTCCTGTTCTTCTTCTTCTTGTTCATCAACAAGCATCATCATCGTCGTTGTCATCGTCATCATCACCTAACCCTGACCCCTAACCCTAACCCTGACCCTTCACTCTAACCTAATCCTAATCCAATCCTTACGGGTAAGGTGGTCTTAAATTAGACCTTGCCCTCGTACCCGCGCTTTTCGCATATTTAGAACAATTTGCTATACTATAAGCACTGCATCCGGGATCTCACTTTCTCTCTCTCTCTCTCTCTCTCTCTCTCTTCTCTTCTCTCTCTCTCTCATCTCTCTCGCATTTCGGCCCCCCCCCCTCGCTCTCTCTCTCATCTCTCTCCTCTCTCAGCAGCTCCTCTCTTGCCTCGCACTGCCCCCCCCCTCTTTTCTCTTCTCTGTCGCATTCCGCCCTGCTCTCTCTCTCTCTCTCACACTCCCTCTCTTTGCCTCGCACTCCCCCCCCCCCTCTGCTTTCTGCTTTCTCTCTACTCTCGCTCTCTCTCTCTCTCTCTCTCTCTCTCTCTCTTTCTCCGCTCGCTCTCGCCTCTCGCTGCCTGCTCTCTGCTTCTCTCGTCTGAAGTTATGCGGGAACTACTGCCGACGGTGAGTCGCAGCTACAGTCGGTTGTTCCGAGTTTCTCGTCTGTTATTTAGAGTTCCTCATGTTTGTGGGTACGCTTGGGACGACTAGCATGCAGCAGAAGAGCGAGAAACTTGAGAGCACCTTCGCTGAGTGTCTCTGCCTCCCCCTTGCCTATGTAGCCCTTGCTGATGGTATCCAGCACCTATGCGAGAGAATTGTTGTTATCAGCGTGCATTTGGTGAAGCACAATGTTTTGGGGCGACCCTTCTGACAGGAATCCGTGTATATGCGTGGATATGCGTTAACGCGTGTGAGTAATGCGCGTGGGTTGAAGCGGGCATTTGCGTGTTTATGCACGCGCGGTGCGTGGTGTGTGTGTGGGGGGGGGTGCGTGCGTGCGTGCGTGTGTGTGCGTGTGCTGTTGTGCGTGCATGGCGACTGGATTAAAACGCGAAAATGATTCTTCGCAGCGGATTTTGACCAGCGACCTAAGATAACTGTCTTAGCACTACATATCCTCCGCCTACCAACTGAGCTATCGAAGGATGCCTATGCCTGGTCGCCGACTAATTTAATGCTTTATCTATATATCTATCTGCTAGAGATAAAGAAAAACAAATAGAGAGAGAGAGTGAGCAAAAGAGAGAAAAAGAGAGAAGGGAGAGAGAAACGAACAGACAGAGACACACGCGCCCGCCCGCATGCACACGCGTGCTGCATGTAGCACACACTCAGAGAAATAGAAAGTGAGATAGTGTGTGTGTAAGAGGGTTGTAAGTGTGTGTGTGCGCGCGTGTTTCTGTCTGTTGGTTTCTCTCTCCCCGCTCTCTTTCTCTTTTTTTCTCTCTCTCTCTCTCTCTTTCTCTCTTTCTCTCTTTCGCTCTCTTCCTCTCGTGCAGGCGCGGTGTGTGTGTGTGCGTGTGTGCGTGTGTGCGTGTGTGCGTGCGTGCGTGCGTGCGTGCGTGCGTGCGTGCGTGCGTGCGTGCGTGTGCGTGTGCGCATGCGATGGATTAAAATGCAAAAATTAATCCTTCGAGCCGGATTTGAACCAGCGACCTAAGGATAACTGCTCCCAAACCACTACAGTCCTCCGCTCTACCAACTGAGCTATCGAAGGATGCCTGTGTTTGTGCACCGACTGATATTTTATCTATAGATCTATCTGCTAGAGATACCCAAAGAAAACAACAGAGAGTGACAGAGGGGAATGAGCAAGAGAGAGAAAGAGAGAGGGGGAAAGCATACCCATACGTACACATGCCCGCACGCACACGCAGGCACGCATGCAGGCACACGCATGCACGCCAACGCAGGCACGCATGCAGCACACGCATGCACGCACACGCAGGCACGCAGGCACGCATGCAGGCACACGCAGAGAAAGAGAAAGTGAGAGAGTGCGTGTGCGAGGGGTATGCGTGCTGCGTGCGTTCGCTCGTGAGCGCATGTGTGTTATTATGTCTTAACCACGAAGCGACAGACTCCTTTGTAGGCCCGGCGATATGCGAACTGGAACGCGTTTTCCGAATCAGTGGCGTCTGCTACGCCGACATAGGCGCGATCGTAGTCGTCTGGAACTGGTGACAGCGTGAGGGCAGTTCGCCTCCTCAACACGCCAGCACCACCTGGTGAGCGGTCAGTCGCGCGCAATGTGTTGCCATGTCGCTGGCATCCAGAACCGGCCATCTGTAAATAACGTATGTTTCAGATCGTTTTTGTAGTTTTATTAAAATATTTTTTATAAATTTCTAGTCTTTCGCTTATAAAATGGTAACAGAGGGAGCGTATCGGAATCACGTAGTCGTTTAGATTTCTTCGGATTTTTCGCGAGGAATTATTTTGCTTTGTCTTTCTGTCGCTCTTCGTTGAGCATTGAATGTGAATTAAACACTATCTTCGAGGATAGATACGACAGAGAAAAGCTCATAGGGTGGGTGCTAAAAAGGGGTACAGTGTGGATATGTATAATTTTCGTTACCATAATGATAGCCATGAGTGGCACGCAACAGTAGCTTTCTGGCATTGTTCCAGCGTCGCCCACTGTTTCACGTAATGAAACGTCGGTACCAACATCTTTTATGTGGCAATACATGAAATAATATACTAGTTAGACTATATTAGTTAACTATGTATATAACATATATATATATATATATATATATATATATATATTACATATATTATAGAATAGATAAAATATAGATGTAGACTATAGAGATATAGTTGGACTTAGTTGTGTTTTTATATATTTCTATGGCAATACGCCTACATTAGAGTGTATTATTCTTCATTGTAATTTAAGATAGATGTCTTATAGATGTGTCTAGGAAAGAATAAATAGTCAGGATTGGCTTTGTGTAAAAATTATGTATCATTGCTAATGATGGTGCCATGGTAAAGCCCCAGTAATTTTATATATATATAATGTTACATTCTCGAATTTAAGCCAAATGCCGTCCCATGTCGCTGCAAAGGTTAGTGTGAAGTATACACTTTTGTGGTCCTTTAACACGCATAAGGTATATGTTACGTGTGCAAAACTGCCAAGTATTTTAAGGTTTTGGTGTCTTGCTTATTCAGGTCTGCGGAACTATGTACGACATCTGCTTGATAACTGCACACAACAGCGGCTATACTGTGTCATATAAAAACCATTATAGCGCTGGTTGGCTTTAAGTGCCAGCACACTCACGCCATTTCGTGCTGTACAGGCAATTTTCGTGGTCGCTACAAAAATGGCCAGTGTGCGGGGGCCGCACGACCACTCACCACGGAAATTAGTGGTGACCACGAGTTGCCGAGAATCAAACCGGTTGTTTCTCATCACGATTCGTGGTGACAACTTGTGGAAGTGGCCGCCACGGCAATCGGAACAAAATCACTCGCAGACAATCAAAATTAGCGCTGCCGTCACATGATTTCAAAATGGGTCAATACAATATAAAATATTACAAACATACAAATATACAAAGTATAGAGCGCCCTTAGGCCTAAGTAACAGAAATGTTGATAAAATTTATATATTACAAATATACAATATACAAATATACAAATATACAACATACAAAATACAATATACAAATATAGGCCCTAGGCTAAGTACGAAATATTGATAAAATTTATATATTTCTTTTATTTATAACTGTTTATGAATGGGTTAAAGCTACAACTCTGGCAACAAAAATTGCCTGTCAACAGCACACGTCCCACTCACGTGTGGCTGTGCGTCAAAAGCGCCAAAAAATGAAATTGTCTGTACGAGCAACAAAAATGGTGAAGTGTGCTGCATGCTTAAATTATAGTCGGCTCAGACAGCATCTCAGATAAAATTCTACTAGGATTCTATATATCTAAGGTAATTATATCACATATTCCTGTTAATTAAACGAATTGATAATGATTTTTCTCGCACCACCATTCAGAACCGTCGTCGGTTGTCTTTCGTCTGTCGTCTCTCATCGGGCACTGTCGTGGTAATTCTGTGGAGCAGGGCGTTTTAGTAGTAGGTAAACGAAACGCATGCTAGTATAGAGTTACCTTCTTTCTTCCGTGTATGTCCATACTGTTCGCAGCTTCTCGAGTGACGTAGTTGCGTTACAATTTGCTCGCAGTCCTGCTAAAGTTTGAAGCCGGATTAAGGAGTGCGTTGACTCCCATTGCTCGCCAAATGCCCGTAAATGGTAAAGATGCCCTAAGTAAAGTAAGCGTGTGCTGTTAGTATTTTGTTAAGAATCGGATCACCCTTCTAACACGGACAAGTCAATAAAAGTACATGCAAACAAAATTAACATGGCTGCATATATATTTATCATTTGATATGGGTGATCTTATCAGCACCGCTGTTCGCGACACGGAGACACGCAACGCACGCGCGCACAACGGCACGCTACGCAGCAGCGCACACACACACACACACACACACACACACACACACACACACACACACACACACAAACACACAAACACACACACACACGCGCGCGCGCGCGTGCAACTCAACACATGAAAATGTGTGGTTGTCCTACCTGCAGGAATGAATGCGCAGTCGCCTGGGCGCATGGTCGTCCATGTCCACGGAACATCCTTGACTTCTTTGTAGGTGAACACGTTGATCATATCTATGTTCATTTCTGTATACCCTCTTTTCACAGTGTAAACCTAATTGATAAAAATCCGGTTACATAACTTTTCAAGCTAGTGCTGCAATATAGTGATAAGAATAGTGTTGCATTTTGCTCATATGATACTTTTTCATTCTTATTTCTCTCGACACACAGTAGCATGACAAGTATTTCCCAGCGTCATCAACAGGCATGGATTCTCACACTTAAGCTGTCAATTTGGTACATTTTTACTATAATTTTTCAAAAAATAATTTTTTCTCACGTAAACGTCATTATCTGTAATGACAACAATAATAATTGTTCTGCTCATGTAATAGATAAAATAATGCGCTACTGAACCTAATCATTGATAGTAAACATTACACAAATATCTGTTTTTTCGACGAGAGCAAACGTTACACTCACAGGTTCTTTCATCGCTACTTTGCTTTTGTGGCTGTTCTCCATAAATATGACGTCCCATCTGCCACTGAGCAGACAGAGAAACTGGTGGTCGGGAATATATTGTAGAGGTGCTGCCGTCTCCCCACTACTCAGCCATAGTCGCACCTCTTGTATCACCGGCGGCGCGGCTGTCGAATTTATCGTAGACTTGGCGCAAGTAAGAAATGCAGGAATCTGTCGATGCAAGTTAAATCAGTGATCGATAAGCATCGTTCGTTTATCATACATTAACCAAAACGTATTTCAGAATTTCGACACTTTAATATTATCAAGCGATTCTGTTTTCTCGCTTTTCTCAAGATAACATTCTCAGTGCCGTCTCGCTTCTATCTTTACACATTACTCCGTATTGTGCTAGAAATCCTGGAGATCCCTTAGATGTCCAGGAGCTAAGTAATTATCTACTTATAAAGATGTGCTTAATTAACTCTTCATATTTTAGACGACACACGCGGAGAAAGATGGCGCCGATACTTTAAACAGGGTGCGCATATGATCTGGGCACGTAGCGTCCATGAACCAATCCTCGTAGTGGAACTTTTCTAGAAGCTTGCTCAACTTCTTTCGCATCGGCTTGTACCTCAGAGGCGAATCGTGAACATTATAAACAGGGATTCGGATCGAGCCGAACCTATAAGTATGTAAACAAACGGAGAATTATACGTCACAAGAGGTAATCATGACGTGTAGAAACCAATGGAACTACCCTTGATGCACTTAACATACCATACTATTTGTACTAAATAAGTCATAATTATTTTACTAAAATAGTCATAATTATTAATTAAGAATAAAAACACCGCCATAATTTGTACGGTTAGAAAGATTCAGGCGCGTTTCAAAATAATATTGTCACCTTTTTTTCATCACATCGTCAGTAATTGTGTTAACGTCACTAACGTTGATTAGCTTCCGATAAACAGCGGGAGTTTGAGGCGTTTTCTTGAAGTGCTTTGATGCGAATTCCGTCACGTTAAATGACTTATAGACCCGTGCTGGACTTTTTGCTTTTGATTGATAACCTGCAAAACATACACATAATGTTATTATTTTCCTATAACACGTGGTAATAACCTATTCTTTTACCCTTACTCTCCCATTTTCTCCATCGTCTTTCTTCTGATCCTCCCCTCTTTTTCTCGCTCTTCTTTCGCGTGGGTGTCCGCGCTTGCTGGTGTCTGTGCATACGTAAGTGCATTATATGCGCTTCTCATTCTCGCTTACTTTCTCTCTCTCCCTCTCTACCTCCCTTACTGACTTTCTTCACCATCATCAGATCGAAATATAGATAATATAACAAAAGTTGTGGCAATAAATCCTTCGATAGCTCAGGTGGTATAGAGCGGAGGACTGTAGTGGAACCAGAGCAGTTATCCTTAGGTCGCTGGATTAAATCCGGCCCGAAGGATTTCAATTTTTTTTAACTTATTTATGAAAGTAAATAAATAGTTTCGATTTAAATTATTTCTATTGTAAAATATTTTAATATAGGTATATATACAAGGACACATTTCTTTACACACCCCAGCCATAAACATTTGCATAACTGATAGCCAACCGCACAAAATGGAAATCTAATATATATATAGTAAATAAACTGTATTTATGATAAATGGTTATAATTTGGGAATAAAGCAAGAAGCCTTTGATAGCTCAGTTGGTAGAGCTGAGGACTGTAGAAGAATATGAACGGTTATCGTTAGGTCGCTAGTTGAAATCCGGCTCGAAGGAATATAGCTTTTGCAATACACTCAATGACAACGTAGCGCATTTACATCTTCAGTCATATGAAATAAGATCCTATCTCGTTAACATTGTGATGATGATAAAATATATACGTTACTTAAACTGAATTTCTTTAATATGCACAACGTCGGCGTTACGCGTTACGATTATAGACGATTACATGAACGGCTCCGTATTTCGCTCTCATCAATTGTTATTTATCTGCACGAGAACATAAACGATCGAACTACGCTATGAATGAGCATGCTTCGTCTTTGTATAATTATTTGCATTTCAGTTTACCACTGCCCTATTTCTTCCGATTTGCTTAAGTGTGCACGTTCGTGCATTTATATGCGCGCGTGTGGCTTCTGTAATTGTCCCCATTCATGTTAATGTTATGCGCGCGTTTCATTCTCTCGGTCATGCCTTCACTATTTATTTATTTATTTATCTCTTGCTCTATCTTTATTCCAGCCACCTCCCTCTTTAAGACTTTATCTATCTCTGTATCTTGCCATGTTTCTTTGTCTGAAAAGTCAACTAGCTTGTCGCAGTTCACACCATGCACCCTTCGATAGCTCAGTTGGTAGAGCGGAGGACTGTAGTGGAAACAGAGCAGTTATCCTTAGGTCGCTGGTTCAAATCCGGCTCGAAGGATTAATTTTAACATTTCATTCAATTAATAAATGCGGTATGTAGACGTTTAACAATAGGCCCCGACTCAGTTTACCTTGTTGGCAATTTTATACGTTAGGTTTGTTATGCGATAACAACACGTTATGTGTTAAAGGATGACACACATTTTGAGACAATTAATTCTATACAGCGATTATCTATGAATACACTGCCATCTTTATTAAACAATTAAGTTGTTAGCTAATGGTTCAACGTAGTTGATGGGACAAACTTGAGTATTAATAACTACGACAGGCTTTTTTGATTCCGCATTGATAGTTGTAACTGAAAGAACTCCGCAAGCTCCTTCGATAGCTCAGTTGGTAGAGCGGAGGACTGTATAGTGGAGTGATAGCAGTTATCCTTAGGTCGCTGTTTCAAATCCGGCTCGAAGGATTGCCGATTTTAAACTGATTTACGTCAGTAAATAAATATAGTTTAGATTTAAATTATGTATGTTGTGAAATATTATTAAACAGGCATTTAAACACACATTCATTCTCTTTTCACAAATCAGCCACAAATATTGGCATAACTGACAGCCAACCGCGCAAAGTGGAAATCTAATATAGTTAATCATGATACACTTTATGGTTATAAATAATGTTTTATAATGGTTATAAATGGTTATAATGTGGGTATGCAGTAAGAATCCTTCGATAGCTCAGTTGGTAGCGCGGAGGACTGTAGTGGAGTCATAGCAGTTATCCTTAGGTCGCTGGTTCAAATCCGGCTCGAAGGATTGAGTTTTTTAAATTATTTATGTCATTGTATAAATAGTTCAATTTAAATGGTGTCTATTGCAGAATGTTAATTAACAGGCATTTAAGCACACTTTCATTTTCTTTTCACAAAACAGCCACAAAAATTGACATAATTGATAGCCAACCGCGCAAGGTGGAAATCTAATAGAGATAGTTAAGCATGATAGACTTTATTTATGATAAATGGTTATAATTTTAGATTAAAGTAAGAAGCCTTCGTTAGCTCAGTTGGTAGAGCGGAGGACTGTAGAGGAATATGAACGGTTATCCTTAGGTCGCTGGTTGAAATCCGGCTCGAAGGATTATTAGTTTTGCAATACACTCGATGACAATGCATATCGCACTTATAGACCTTATACACCTATACACATATTACACCTTTAGCCAATAGTAAATCAGATCCTATATCTCGTTAACATTATGACACGATCATGTAAACGTGCTTACGGAATTTATACATTACTTAAACTGATATGATCTAATGTGTTCTAATATTCTTTAATGTGTACAACGTCGGTGTTACATAGACGACTATATAAACATTTCCGTTCTCTCTCTCGTCAATTGTTATTTCTCTGCACGAGAACACAACGAACTAAATTTATATATGTCCACTTTGCCGCTAATATTTTTTATATATACAATGTCTACCACAGGTTCGCGCATCGTAAAACACATTGCCCAGGATCAGAAAATTTACGGGTTGAAAAGTTTGATAACTCCTGTTAATAAAGAGTAACAGTTTTATATTTGGGGAAACCGCTTTAGTTTTATTGAATTTGTGTGCGAGTGCGTGCGTGCGCGGGCGCGTGTATGGAGTGCGGTGCGTGCATGCACGGGTGCGTTCCTTGGTTCGTGTGTACGTGTGTGAGTGCGTGCACATTCGCGTTTACGTTTGTATATTATAATTTTCCTCTGTACTCGCAAACGTAATCACAATTAACGTATACTTCTCCCCGACATAGTTTGAGTAACTTACCGAGCGGCCTCAGGTGACCAGACGGAATCGTGTTTCTAGTGGCTTTACCAGACGTATGGTGCTCGGAGATAAACGGTGGAAAATGCCTATCGGTTCTCTGGTCCTTTGCGAATTCGAACTGGGCACCAACAAGGTGCCAATTAGCCACGGCAGTTAAGATTACGATGCCACGAAGCACCGTCTCAGATCCAAGCATATTTATTTTTTAGAACGGGCAGCCAAAGTGTGTCCTTGATGTACATAAAATCGGCCGAATTTGATCAGGAACAGAGGTTATTCGCGCCCTGCCAAAAAGGGCGAGACGTGGAAGGACCACGTACGACATGCCGGGTTATGCCGGCGGAGACACGTGTCGGGCGTACGTAACAGCTGCGGCAGCAGACAGTGGCTATAGCACATCACTTATGCTTACGCGTGTTCCGCTACCGTGCTAACACGATGCGATGACGTGGTCTTATATATATACGTGTAGGTACACGACGAATATGGTACATTTTTAACCCCGTGTCATACAGTTCGCGCAAACTTATTTGCTGGTTGCTAATGATCATGATGGTGATGCAAGTGTTATAGTCTGCGCGATCTAGACTCCAACGCACGTACGTGTCTATATTCTATATGCAGACATTTAGTAGGAGTGAATAATAGATAATAATTTATTACTGTAGGCACTATAGGCCCTATATACGCTGTATATTTCGCGGTGGTTTAATTAATTTTCGCGAATTTTGCGAACGCGTCCCCGACCGCGGAACTAACAACACGCGAAAATTTTAATAGCAATACGCTGTTCTTCACTGATTCGGGAATTCACCGACCGCGAAATTAACCATTCGCGAAATTGCCCCTTCAAGTCTGAATTCGCGAAAAATATGGCGTGTATCCAGTCCTGATATAGTATGCAATAGAGGTTTGATGCAGTCGGCCCAAATTACATTGTCTTGACAATGTGCCATCAAAACGACCCGTGTATCTTATTTATTTATTTATTTGTTAATCAATTAAATTATTTATTTATTTATTAGCTCATCTGACGTAGTTAGATGCAGCTTGTAGAATCGCATGATTGTGCGTCCGTCCGTGCGTCCGTCCGTCCGTGCGTCAACAGTTGGGCACAAATCTTAACCGCTCGACGTACAGTCACGATATTCGGGACGTCGGGGGGGGGGATCGTGAAAAGGATTCGGGATGACAAATTTAGGGGGTCAATGGTCAAAGGTCAAAGTTGTGTAAACGGAGGGGGAATATATTGCATACACAATGAAAGAGTCCCTTGCAGACAAGTGGAGGGCAAAGAGTGGAGGGAATGGAGGGGGCCCGTGAGGGGCGCCTACTGTGCGTGCGCGGTGCTTGACTTGAACGATTCCGAGGGCTTATTGCGGGATTAGCTTTGTAAAGAGGGGCCTATTTGCTCACGCGCGCGCCCGCTTTAGAAGTTGAAAAACACCCCCCTAACCCGCAAAATTTGGAACGCACATGGGGTAATACCGGCATATATACTAGTGACCCCCCCGGGATATCAACATGAGCTCGACAGCTCTTACTCACTCCGAGTCTTACCGTCAATGTTGTGTCGACAACGCTGGCGATGATACGTTGAAGGAATAGTGTATTTGAATAAACAAATTAAGCATACTAGTACTACCTGGCATATTGTTTGTTATTATGAATTTGCATAGAATTTATTAAAATAGTATAAGCAAAGAAATCATTATAAGCTGGATAGCTGGATAGCTGGATAGTGAACAAGAGAACATCCACGTGTCCGCGAGCATGTTAGTGTTAGTAAATAATATGTCGTGGGAAGTTTATAATGACTAAATATGAATGAGTGGTTGTTGTGTTAGCCGCTTAATTACACACCCTTACATTTGATGTACTGGCGTCGAATTCTGGTAAAGCATAAAGTAAAGTCCTGTTACCACATCTTTTATATACCCGGCTGTGTCGTACTTGAACTACTTCGCGGTTACTGTCAACTTCGTCCCAACAACTTCGTATAGAACTAGTATAGCCATATATAGGTTATACTTATATACTTATAGTTATAGTTATACTTATAGTGAACAATATACACATAGTAATTACGCAGTGGCTATTTAACCGTATACGGCAGGTTATCCATTTCAGCTATTTTACCGTACAGTACTTGGCTAGTATGTTTATGTATGTGTATATATGTATGCTAGAAATGTGTTCAAAAGGTTTCGTATTGGAAACGTGATTAACGGAAAATAGCTTCCAAGTTCTATGATCGAACGGTTACAGCCCTATAGACCGAAGGTTTATTCGAATACGCATTGGCTACACGTCCGGAATCGGTCGCCTAGCCTCCAGGCTACGCATCCGGACATCTACTGATGCCGTATTCGAACGTGAATATGCCGCACATTCACCGATGCCACTATAAACCATATATATGCCCTAACCCTAACCCTAACCCTAACTCATACCCTAACTCTAGCGCCCTAATTCCTTGTGCATACTCGGTTCTGACCTCTCGGTCTAATCAGACCTTCGGTCTATCGGACCTTTGATCTATAGGGCATGCCCCGATCAAACGGGTCCATACCTATGTTCCGGTACCTTCGTGTCCAGTACTCAGTACCTATGTGTCCCGGTACCTATGTTCCGGGTACCTATGTTTCCGCCTATGTCCCGTACCTATATTTCCGGTACCTATGTGTCCCAGGTACCTATGTTTCCAGGTACCTATGTATCCAGTACTATGTGTCCCGTACCTATGTGTCCAGTACACGGTACCATAGGTTTTCCGTCCTATGTTCACTCATATTAAGGGGGTACTATTTAAAGTCATGAGAGAATAAAACTATGCTCAGTATTCTCCCTTAAAGGCATATTCGAGCAATCGATTAATGCAAAGTTGACGATGCTACAGTAACTGGCACTTGTGTAGTTAATAAGTCATTACCTTATAGCCCAACGCGTATTAGTTTGTCCAATATCACTGCTAATTACTAGAAATGTCTAATTGAAATCCGTAAATTTGGTAATTGGCGACACGCTAAATTTATTACTAACAAATTAAACTCGAGTTCGGTTCGTGACGTACATGTGGCTACAGGATGTTGAGCATAGAATTGTTTGTCCCGGGTGAATTGTTTGCTAGTGTTATTATTTGCCTTAGTTGCCACTATATTATATGTTACTTGTAATCTCAAGAACTTCGTATATTCATTTTATTCCGAATCCCAAGAGTAAAACCATAACGTACGGAATGCGACTAGACTACAAGGATCGAAATCACTGACGGCCGAGCATACGTGCGAAAATGTCGTGCACTATAATCTGTATGACACCGCCTCGCCGGTTACGGCCGGTTACGGCCGGAATGGCGGTTTGTAACTGTCTAACAACCGTTTCTTGGACTGCGGATTTCAATTAGATTTCTTAGTAACCAGCAGTGTTGGACAAACTAATAGCGTTTGGCTATAAGGTAATGTACTTATTAACTACACAAGGTGCCAGTTACTGTAGCATTCGTCAACTTTGCATAAATCGATGGTCGGATTATGCTTTAAAATGTCTTAATACAAGATGAATATACTGAATTACAGCACTAACCCTTTAAATACGGGACTCAAAATTCTTTAACCCAAACGAAAAAAAAATTCTGAATTAATCTCAAAATTAATCGCATTCATTATAATATATTAAAATATATGGAAGTTATATAAAAGTCATGGAAAAAAAACGATAATGGAAAATTGAACATTTATAATGATATATAGAATATGTATATATCTATGCTTATACCATGCGAATTTTGCATGGTGTGTCCCCCGCTTAATGCAAAAATTGTGAACTGAACTGGTAGTTTTTTATTTGAAAATTAACTACAAAAACATTTTAATTGTTTTAATTAATTTGTTTGCTGACGTAACAGCCTAGGCCTAATCCTGAAATCCTTTATTTCGTGTACTGGGAAACATAGGTACCGGGAACATGGTACCTGGGTACTGGACAATAGCGTACCGTGGAACAATAGTGCCTGGTACGGGACACATAGTTACCGGGACACATAGGTACCGGGACACAATAGTGCCTGGGTACTGGACACAATAGTTACCGGGACCACATAGGTACCGGACCATGGGACCTTGGGGTAACTGGGACACATAGGTACCGGGACACATAGGTACCGGGCACATAGGTACTGGGGCGTCTGGGACAATAGGTAGACACTAGGTATGAACCGCCATCAACAGGGCTACAATGTTGACTAGAAATAATATGGGATTTGAACCTTTAAAATTTTCTAGATAGCTAAACCTTATGGGATTGCGAATCATGTGATGATTGGAATGAATTATGTTGATGACGGCATAAATATATACGTCAATCAAATGTTGGTGATACGTTAAAATTAGGCGGAGGATGGATACTTCTGCCGTATAGCGAGTTAAATTATCACTGCCTATAATAATTAATACATCATGATATAACATTAAGTCATTATACATCAGGTTGCTACTGCCACCTGTGGAAGTGCCAGCCCCCTTCACATGTTGAGATTGGAATTTGTTGGGAATACAGGCGTATGCGGAGTCATAGCTGCTAGTCCAGCAATTTGACTGACTGGTCACCCCTTTCACACTGCTTTTTATTTCCACGCAGGTTTTTTCTCGATTTTAATTATTATCAAGAGATTTGGTCATTAGTGGATTAATGACACAACACTTCACTTAAGCTGACGCCCAGCATCACATGTCACTGTAGTACACATGGAAGAGTGAGCTACGGTATACAACTACTGACACCAGAGACCTCCATATACCTGGCAACACCAAAATTCACCTATTACTACACTGCGTGTGTGTGGTTGTTGCTGTGCTGGTGTAGCCAGGTCCGGGTTACAATACTGTTTTGCGCGGATGCTGTGGCACATATCCATCCTGAGATATATGATGGTTAACATTAAGAAATGTAATATATAATATACGGCTTTAAAAAGCCACGCCATATGCACCCTGTAACGGTAATCTCACAGTTGATGCTGAAATTCGACTTACTACGTCACGACAATTTCTATGGTAAAATTTGTAAAATTTTTGTTGCCATTTTTTACAATTAAAAGATAAGAACTATGGGGACTACACGTATTGTCAAATTCTTACCTGATAAGAATATTTTTCAACTAGTTAAAAAACGCAAAAACCTGGAACGATTTGATATTAATGTTCCCAACATTATTGTTGCTATGGGCTATACATGTTATGAGTCATGAGTGTATGTTTACACATCAAACAATATAATAAACAGGAAGTATATATGCCAGTAATTTAAAGGATACGTAGAGCTCTAAAGATTTTACTGCATACAACTGTAACTTAACTGTATAACAAATCGTCTATACCTACACGTATTTGTTACCAGAATACCTAATTTAATTGTCTATAGATTAATTCACACATCAACGCTACGAAATTGTGAACGGCGCCATGAACACCGCGACCAGTGCTGCCACTTCACAAGGAAGTGCAGTATATTTACGGTGACGTAATAATTTAATGCATGATGCAAAGCAGAGTAGCAACTTCGACACTTTAATGCATATTTGTATAACTAATATTAATATCAATGAGCATATGTTTATATATCTTGCTGTATAATATAGTTCATGATAATGTCTTGCCACTTAGTTTGGAAGTTACTCTTATAATATCAACCACGAGGAGAATGATTATGTTGCTTTATATTTCTCTGTAATACAAGTTCTGCAATGAAGTAAGAAATTTGGACGAAAATATCTATACAAATAGGGGGTAAAGAGTGCACCAATGCTTACATTAACGACATTTGTCATACCATTGCAGTCAATGGGTGAGCATTAGGTGGTGATTGTGGTGGGAGAGGGTGCAGATATGCTTTAATTAACATTATATCAGCAGACTATAATTAATAACAGAATAAATCAGTTCACGCAGCATTAGGCATAATAAAAATATTCGTTTGTTTGCCCTCAACCGACCGACCCGCCAAAAGGGGCGACAACTCAAAAAATTATTGATCTTTCCCATTCTTTTTAGCTCATCTGAATAGTCAGATTCAGCTTGTAAGATCGCATGAATCGTCGGGCGGTCCGTCCGTCCGTCGGCGTCCGTTCCGAGCGTCCGTCCGTCCGGTTCCGTCACAGTTGGGCACAAATCTTAACCGCTCGACGTACGGTCACGATATTCGGGAACGTGGGGGCGTAATCCGAAAACGATTGGATGTCGAAGCTGGGGGTCAAAGTCAAAATGTCAAGAGGTGTAAAGAAGGAGGGAACAATTGACCTCCTTAGCTTAAAGGACAGTACCCTCTAGCGATTTTACTGCCATACAACGTACTTACTGTAGCAAGAATCGTCTATACCACATGTTTAATTTGTCACCGAGCATACTTAATTAATTATTTACACATCAACGCTACAAAATTTGAACGGCGCCTATGACACACCGCGACCGTGCTGCCACCCTGAAAGTTTGCGTATTTGCATTTTTATATTTGCAAGGTAAATATGACCCGAGGGTAATCACATAAAAGTGCAATTTATATTTATACGCTAAATGGCTATTTAAACGGAACGATATTCATTTTAGGGCAAATTTATCCATATTATAACTGAAACTATATGTCGTTTATAAGATATTACAATCCTTTTGCTTTTAAATGAATAAATAAGAATTACCTCGGTCTGTAGCCCTTGCTGGAAAATGGTTTTCGCGCAACTTCTCAGATCGTGCGCTCTGAGTGGCGCCACCGCTCGTTGTAATCAAACTGTAGTCGTTATTTTAAAACATTTTTTAAAAATATTTCTAATAGTGATTGAAGCATGAAACTTTTATGTTAGCGCAATTATAACCTAATTAGCTGAAAATAACCCTAGAACCTAGAGGCTACTGTTCCTTTAGGTATAGGGAGGAAATGCAGAATTGCGGCACAAATCTAAACGGCTCGACCTAGGTCGTGATAGTCGGTGTTATAGCATTCATGGTTAGAAAAGCCATCACTGTGCCGAAATTGGAGGTCAACAGTGTCAAAGGTCATTTGGGCCACCTGGGCAGATTTTAGACATTTTCTGAGGACATGGTGTCTGGAGGATAGCGATTTAAAACTTTTTTGTTTCAGCGGGTGACCTAGCATTTTTATGCATTATTGAAAGGACCCATGAAATCTACTTTCTGCTTAATGCGAAGAGTAATGCATGTCAGATACCTTTTGACCCTCAAGAGGAGGGTTAAACTTGGATTTGTTAACTTCTGTTAGAAAGAATTTGACTGCCGGGTTGCTAGTAGAATCTTACATGCCTGGATGTATGAGGCTACAATGTCACAGTGAAATTTCAAAGACTAAATTTGGTTAAAGAAGGTGTATGTTCCTTAAATCGTATAATTTCTATGGCATTCTGTACTGTCAGTATGTTACATGTAACGTATTGCCACTGCAGTGGCTGCTGCCAGTGCATGTGTTGGAGCGTTTTTGCCTGCATTAATTGGTTACAGCGTGGCAGCTCTCTATTGCAGTCTGGTAGGCTTGCGTAGGTAAATGGATGAGTGCTTACCTATTCTGTCTTGCAAATAGTTGTTGCTACTATTGCTTACTACGTACGATCAGAAGCTTCCATCTTTAATCTGAGACACTTAAGTTAAACGTACGCGCCATCTCGTGGCAACTTTCATAACGATGTCCCAACACATTCCTTCTTGAGAGGTTCCTGATACCCACCCTGTGCATTTCCACTGTTTCGGCGTGTATGTGAAACATTTGGACTAACAAGGGTTTAACTTAGAATTCCCACCACTCTACCACAGAGTCACCGCATTAGACGTTAGATGAGCGCTGTCGCTCCGCGGCACTTGTTTATACAAATTGTATCACTGTACATTATCTAAATCTGTAGGCAGGGTGCGAGGAGTCAAGTCGGACTCCCTGATTTGACATATGCAGGAGTCTGTGTGACTCCCTGAAAATTCTGCCATATAAACTAGTTCGTTCCGGAGCACGGCCTCGTGGGATGAGCGCATTTTTTTAGGTAATGTCCAAAGAAAATTTGGCAGACGTGCAACTGCATGAATCTTAAAAATAAGCACATGCGTTATTGTTAATATCTTTAATTTTGAACCTCGAACTGCGGACTCCCTCATTTTGCAGCGGACTCGTTCTTTTTCAGGTTAAGGAGTTCGCTGGACTCCCGTGTTCAAAAGTTAATTTCTACCCTTGTGTAGGCAATACATTATAGCTGCGTTCACATGCGACTCCGTATTTATAAAATTCGGTATTTGCGAGATACCGAATCTGAGACAAATACGCGACCGAGCGTTCACACGCTGTTTCGCGGCTCCAGAAATGCTGTATTTGCGAGCTGCGAGCTGCTTTAGTACACTGAAAAAAAAACAATGCATCCAAGCGAACAATCAAGCGAACAATGCGAAATAAACAATCAGTGCACAGCAACTGCCAATAAAATACGTAGACTGGTCCGGGCTCGACATACTCGCGTTACGCGATTGTAACTGTCGAGCGCGAAAAATTGGCCTCAGATCTAGGATATTGATTGGTCCATAAATCCACCTATCTGAGGATCAATCCTTATTCTATATTAGCATTCATTTGGTAAATGCCTCTGACGTATATGAGTGACACGTGACCTCTTTTGATTTTAGCTTTATACTTCTTGAGTACTATTCAACCAAGAGGATGCCACACATGCCAAAACATTTGCCGCTTCCAAAGGGAGACCACATTGTTGGTGCCCTCGATGTCATGACTGGGCCAATGAAAGATGGGACGTTTTTAAGACTGTACTACCCGATTCCACACTGTGATGTAACTGTGCGTGTTCCATCTTGCACATAACTAACTACCAGTATGAAATATTGATTGGTTAGAACACATCAGCTCTTATTAAAATGTGTACTGCAGATTTTTAGCTTAGTGAAGCTATATTTTCAAACCTCCTGGACGTAGCTATTTTAGAATGCTATACATGCACAACAGTCATTCACATGAAGTGAAGTGAATAACATCTGGTGTCCTATGAAGCGTTGAAGTCATATATGTGCCTAAAGCTAACTCTACGGATAATAAATAGCCTTAATAAGTTTAAAGTTTTATAGAATGTTAGTGAGTGTTATGTGTTATGGACAGTATGTTGGGTTTTGAACAGGAGATATAGATGCATCCCCCTCTTCCCAGAACATTTATATCATATTACTATAATTATATCAACTAGAAGTCATAGAATAAATAAATCAGGAGGGTGCATATTATTTTAGAATCAGTAATACCACTTGGGAAAATTTGCACAAGCTCCCAAGCCTTGACTATAGCGTCAGAATGATGTTAAGCATTTAACCAGTTACTTGTGTCATGCAGAACTACAATAAAAGATGGCCTGCGTGGGCGGAGAGAACACAATACGTCGATTCTTACATCAAAATCATGAGGTGGCCACTGTTTGCAGGGCGTTGGTTAGCTAACTGGCTTATAGGTAAGCGTTCTTATCCTTTATTTCCCGCGACTTTTATTTACATTTATACACTCTTTAACTAGGAGGTGTTCATTGATTAATACCAGATACGATTTACTCCTAGAACTAACTGTTTCTGTTTTAGGACTACATTATATAACTGACGCCTTCTGTCCACTGTGACCTGTTATTGATGAGTGGTTATATGATATGAGTCTTACTTTCATATCCACAGCTATATTGCTATAGCTGCCTTGTAAATCTATTTGTCTGGCTACATTAAAGTTTTATCCCATTTAAGTGTGACCAGAGTAAGTACATCAGAATGTAAAGCTACTCATGTCATATACCTTTGGAACCGATTGTCTGTGCTCACATCACTAACAACTTACTGAGTATGTCAGTGCAAGAATTGATATACCTAGATGTTAGTGCAATGATGCTGCACTGGGCATAACATAATCATGATCAAAATGTATAACCATGATAGTTAGTTTATAAGCTGATTATGTGTTCCTAGCAGTATGAAATGGTGTTGGATCATGATGCATGTGCTTGAATTCTGCACATGCCTTTTATGTGCATTAGTTTTATATACGTAGTAAATAATAGTTCATAATATTTCTAGTTAAATAAGGAGTCTTGATCCCGTCTAATTCTTTGGTATAATATCATAAATGTAGCAATAATACTAATGTCACAAATGTGACAATAATGTCACAGTTTATTAAGCCGATTTATAATAAACAATCTGTGTAGTCATACATTTAATGACTGCCTTCTTTTTTTACAATGCATCATATGCCAATAATATTCACCCGCACTACCATTTATATATGTTGAGGTATAAAATTCTGCTGCTCTTGTCCAGTCGAAGCGGTCGTCGAGCGTCCGTTCCGTCCGTCCGTCAACAGTTGGGCACAAATCTAACGCTCGACGTACGGTCACGTATTCGGGACGTGGGGGGGTAATCCGAAAACGAGTTGGGATGTCGAAGCTGGGGGTCAAAGGTCAAGGTCAAGAGGTGTAAAAGAGGGGAACATTGACTCCTACTTAAAGGGACAGTAGCCTCTAGGATTTTACTGCATACAACTGTACTTACTGTATGCAAATCGTCTATACCACATGTATTTGTCACCAGATACTTAATTAATATTTACACATCAACGCTACAAAATTTGAACGGCGCCATGACACCCGCGACCGTGCTGCCACCCTGAAAAAGTTGCGTATTTGCATTTTTATTTTGCAGGTAAATGACGAGGGCTATCACAAAAGTGCAATTATATTATATACCTAAATGCTATTTAACCGAACGATATTCTTTAGGGCAAATTTATCCACTATTATAACTGAAACATATATGTCGTTTATAAGATATTACAATCCTTTTGCTTTTAAATGAATAAATAAGAAATACCTCGGTCTGTAGCCCTTGGCTGGAAAATGGTTTTGCGCAACTTCTCAGATCGTGCGCTCTGAGTGGCGCCACCGTCGTTGTAATCAAACTGTAGTCGTTAGTTTTAAAACATTTTTTAAAAAATTTTAATAGTGATTGAACCATGAAACTTTTATATGTAGCGCAATTATAACCTAAATTAGCTGAAAATAACCCTAGAACCTAGAGGTACTGTTTTCTTTAAGGTATAGGAGGAAATGCAGAATTGCGGCACAAATCTAAACGGCTCGACCTAGGCTCGCTGATAGTCGGTGTATAGCATCATGGTAGGAAAAGCCATCACTGTGCCGAAATTGGAGGTCACAGTCAAAGGTCATTGGGCCTAGGGCAGATTTTAGACATTTTCTGAGGACATGGGTCTGACGGAGAGCGATTGAAAAACTTTTTTGTTTCAGCGGTGACCTAGCATTTTTATGCATTATGAAAGGACCATGAAATCTACTTTCTGCTGACATGCGAAGAGTAAGTGTAGATAACCTTTTGACCCTCAAGAGAGGGTTAAACTTGGATTTGTTAACTGTCTGTTAGAAAGAATTTGACTGCCGGGTTTGCTAGTAGAATCTATACATGCCTGATGTATGAGGCTACAATGTCACAGTGAAATTTCAAAAAGCTAAATTTGGTTAAAGAAGGTGTATGTTCCTTAAATCGTATAATTTCTATGGCATTCTGTACTGTCAGTTGTTTACATGTAACGTATGCCACTGCAGTGGCTGCTGCCAGTGCATGTGTTGGAGCAGTTTTTGCTGCATTAATTGGTTACAGGTGCAGCTCTCTATTGCAGTCTGTAGGCTTGCGTAGGTAAATGGATGAGTGCTTACCTTTCTGTCTTGCAAATAGTTGTTGCACTATTGCTACTACGTACGATCAGAGCTTCCATCTTTAATCTGAAGACACTTAAGTTAAACGTACGCGCCATCTCGTGGCAACTTTCATAACGATGCCCAACGAACATTCCTTTGAGAAGGTCCTGATACCATCCCTGTGCATTCCACTGTTTCGGCGTGTATGTGAACACATTTGGGACTAACAGGGTTTACTAGAATCCAGCACTCCACCACGAGTCACCGCAGTAGACGATTAGAATGAGCTCATTCAGTGGATTAATGAACACAACACTCACTAGCATGACCCAGCAGCATCACATGTCACTGTAGTACACATGGAGAGTGAGCTAGGTTACAACTACTGACACCAGAGACCTCCATATACCTGGCAACACCAATCACCTAATTACTACACTGCCGCTGTGTGTGGTTGTACTGTGCTGGGTGTAGCCAGGTCGGGTATACAATACTGTTTGCGATGCTGGTGGCACATATCCATGAGATATAGGATGGTTAACATTAAGAAATGTAATTATAATTACGGCTTAAAAACAGCCATATGAACCTGTAACGTAATCTCACAGTTGTGCTGAAATTGACTACATCACGAAATTTCTATGGTAAAATTTGTAAAATTTTTGTTGCCATTTTTTTACATTAAAAGTAAGAACTAATGGGACTAAACGTATTGTCAAATTCTTACCTGATAAGAATATTTCTCAACTAGTTAAAAAACCAAAAAACCTGGACGATTTGATATTAATGTTCCCAACATTAATTGCTTGCTATGGGCTATACATGTATGAGTCATGAGTGTATGTTCACATCAAACAATATAATAAAACAGGAAGTATAATGCAGTAATTTAAAGGGATAGTAGACTCTAGAATTTTACTGCATACAACTGTACTTACTGTATAACAAATCGTCTATACCTACACGTATTTGTTACCAGATACCTAATTTAATTGTTATAATTAATTACACATCAACGCTACGAAATTTGAACGGCGCGATGACACCCGCGACCGTACTGCCACTTCAAAGAAGTGCAGTATATTTACGGTGACGTAATCACTTTAATGCATGATGCAAAGCAATTAGCAACTTGACACTTTTAAATGCTATTTATAATAATATTAATATCATGAGCATATGTTTATACTCTTGCTGTATATATATGTTCATGATAATGTCCTTGCCACTTAGTTTGAATTACTCTTATAATATCCACCAACAGGAGAATGATTATGTTCTTTATATTCTCTGTAATACAAGTTCTGCAATGAAGTAAGAATTGGAGGAAATATCATCATATATGGGTACAGAGTGCACCATGTAATTAGCGACATTGTCATACCATTGCAGTCAATGGGTGAGCATTATGGTGGTGATGTGTGGGAGCAGGTCAATATGCTTTAATTAACACTTATATCAGCAGACTATAATTAATAACAGAATAATCATTCACGCATTAGGCCATAATAAAAATATTGTTTGTTTGCCCTCAACCGACCGACCCGCCAAAAGGGGCCAACTCAAAATTTTTTATTGATCTTTCCCATTCTTTTTTAGCTCATCTGACATGGTCAGATGCATCTTGTAGAATCGCATGATCGTCCGTGCGTCCGTCCGTGCGTCCGTGCGTCCGTCCAACTACACAGGGGTTTTTCATACCCCTCTATGGCTCGCTTAACTGGCCCTTGGATTGGTGCCTCGCAAGCTTTCACATGGATGTCACGCCAAGGACCGGAACCATCGGTTGCAAGTGGGCGCCACCTTTGATCTCATCGTATGAGGGGTCGGCAGCACCTGGGCCTGATCTTCCCACCTCTTCAGTCTCTGGCAGTGTTTGTAGGCGTTGCGTTTGGATTCCATCAATCATTGGTTCTCCCTCAGCCACTCAACCCATCAGAATCTCTCTGGCCTGCGCTGATGCGTAGCACATTCTTTGATTTTCCTGGCCTTGCTAGGGTTGGCCAGCATTCTTCTTCTTGGATTTGGGTAGAGAACCAGAGCGCATGTCATCAGAAGAACATGACTGCTGCATTATTGAATGAGTGTGATGAATTGGATGAGTCATCGGGTCAATGGTTCTCTACGAGGAGGAAGTTGGAGACGGCTGGAAGACTTGGACCGTGGACCTGGCTCGGGTAGAGGCCTTTAACAGAGTATACAGGTTTTTACCACTGACGCGATATTCGCAACTACACTGCAGGTCCAACGCAACTTGTAAGTTTTTGAACGCAACTCAAAACGGCAACTCGTAAGTTCTGCACGCACTCACGACGCAACTCGCACGGCAACTCGAACGGGGCTAGGTGATCGGCAGGATATTGGGGATCATCAAAGTTTCAGTTCGCAACCGCAACGCAACCCACAGCAGCAACCCACAACGCAGACCCACACGCAACCACACCCAACGCCAGCACGCCAACTCACACGCAACCAAGTTGAATAGGTTAATTGTTGATTTGGGTTGCGTTTGGTGCGTATAAAAATATTTTATTACCACGGCAACTATAGGTTTCGCAGCATACGCTATGGTGTGACGCGCCTTAAGTTTTAAAGTTTTAATAGAAATGTTAGTGAGTGTTAATGTGTTATGGACAGTAATGTTGGGTTTTGAACAGGAGATATAGATGCATCCCCCTCTTCCCAGAACATTTATATCATATTACTATTTATATCAACTAGAGTCATAGAATAATAAATCAGGAGGGTGCATATTATTT